GTGCTCTTCCTATCTTCTAGGAAAAATAATTATAATAAAAAAATTATATATATATATATATATATATATATATATATTCTGTATTTGGTTGTTTCAGTCAGTCACCTGTGACAGATGAATAGCTCATCAGATGACAGCACGTGTCTGAGTATCAACGAGGTAATGATTGGAGAAAAGACAGATTATGGAGCTGCATGGTCTCGTCAAGCTTCAGACTGATGAAGAATGGAGGCAGAGCAACATCACTGGCACCAGATCAGAAGAAACCTTCATGAATCTATTCGTGTTTGGGTCTATCTGAATTTCAAATATGAAAGTCTTGTATTGGTGGACGATGATAGATAGGGGCTGCAGAGAAGTCTCAAGAACGATTGCCAGCAGATATTGATGCGTTCTTCTAATTATCTCACTATTGTGACTCGGTGAAATTTACTTTGACGTTTTATCTGTAATTGTTGTTTTTCACTCTTGCTTATTGGAAACTGTTGGCTTTTTTAACACAATGTGTTCAATATCTTAAACCAACTGACAAACAGGTCTCTCTTGTAAATGAGTCCCGAGGGCTCATGGGACTAACCTGTATAAATAAAGGTTGAATGAATGAATGAATCCTTATTTGCTTTGTTATCTTGATGATAACAGGTTTGGCAGAAGCACCAGACAGTTGGATGTTTTATAAAAGCACCCAAGGTACTGATGGGGTCCTTAATGTAGTAAAGGACAGCTGAGCAGGGAGACGGTGTGTGCACATACCTCTGAATCTAAATTAGGCCTCAGAATAGAAGCAATTGCTTTGATTCATTTTAGCATCATATATTTGGCTGACGTGAGTAAAATGCAGTTGATTTAGCCGGTAACTTAATTCAGCAGTGTGTTGACACCAGAACATTTACAATACTCATTTCTCACGGTTATTGTTCTGTTATTTATCCTCACCAGATTTCTTACTATAATCTTACAATAATACATTTTATTTTTTAATTTTCCAAATAATCACTCACTCGATTCTTACATAAAATATGTTGATTGTTTTTTCAGTAAAACACATTAAAGTCCAGATTTATGTCTCAATTTAAATCCATTTTCTTCTTAGGAGGAAGGAAGTTTTATGCTTCGTGATGTTTGTCAGTGAATGTTTGATGCTTGACAGGTTTTGTAAATGCCCAAATGTGTCTAAGTTAACCATCTTTCATTTTAACCAGGAAAGAAAAATATGCATAACATTAAAACAAACAGTTATGCTGAAAGGTCTCAGAAAGATCAAAACTTCTCTTGGTTAATACAAATAAGTCGTTCCATGGTACATGCGATCACATGCCCCATTGATTTTCTTAAATACTGATTTATTGATATTTTCATGTTTCACTCCACATTTTACTTCTGGTCAAGTGTGCAACTCTTTATCGACAGCTTTCTAAATAAAAATAACCTTAACTCGATGTCTTCAGACATGAATCTGGGCAGGAATGTGGCTCGAACCTTCATGGATTATTATAAACTCAACGACGTCATCAAGGACAACATACCACAGCAGCTTCAAAGGTAAAACTGTGTGGTACCTGGAAAAAAAAAAAGTATAAATACAGTAAAATGTATTACCAGTACTTCTTTATTGTTTGTTTTGAAAGTTACGTAATATATTTTGTGCTGCTTTTTTATTTCTATGCCATCATCAGTGTAGTTTATGTTGGTATTTTTCTCCAGCACTGATGTGATGTTCCAGATGTGCAAAATCAACACTGGGAAGGGTGCTGACATTGGAAGAAACACAGCGGACAGGGAAAAGGAGACGATCCAGGATGTCAGGCACTAGACAGTCAGACACATATTGAGCATGAATGAAACCCACAGCATCCTTCACAGCTCATTGTATTTATAAGCTCCACATCAGTCCGATCAACAAATTATTTTCACAGATTTGTAACAGTGGGATGATTGGTATTGAAGGACTTAAACCAGAGCATGATTCATCCTGGTTTGGGCTGATGTTTAAACCCATAAACAATGCTGAGGGGGATGAACTGGGTTTAAATTTTTTTATGTATTTGGCAGCTGTTTGTTGTAGATATAAATGTGTAATGTGAGGGTTCGTTGGTTAGATCCCTCCACATATAAAGATGAGCAGGGTGCAAACAGATAACTTTATTAACAGCAACTCCAACGATCTTCACTCGTCAACCACAGACATTCAACAACTCTACAGCTCAACCTGTGAAATGTAATTGTTACTTTGTATTAGCATTATTTGCCTTAGTTTGTTTGTGAATTGTTGTTCTTAATTAAAAAAAACAAAAACAATAAACAACACTTTCTGGTCTTGACCTCACGTGCTCTAATCCATTAAATCAAAAGATATAAGGTAAACACAGTGTGAAGGACAAAGGAAGATTCATTTGATTATTAACACTTACCTATGTTGTTAAACATCTTTTAAACATGTAAATATGTAAATAATAATTCTGCTCATGAATGTAAATATTAACCACTGTGGATTTATTTATATTAACCCAAAATATATGAATTACCCTCCTTTGTAAACCTTACAAATGCATGGACTGTGGTGTATTTTATGACATCAAGAAGTGTTATCTTTGTGTGATTAAAGATTTAAACACTTAAGTCGGATCCACTTAAATTTGTTGTAAACCTATATGTTTTATAGGTAGGTGAAGAATAACGTCATTTTTCTTTGTGGTGCTTAGCAAACATTTTAATATGTTTATATAGCAATTGCATTTCCTGAAAAAATGCAGTTGAAGAACTTGCTGAGAAACAGCTGAAATTAGCTAAAAACATGCTGAAATATAGCTGAAATGGAAGAACAAGCCTAAGTTAGCAGAAGAAAACAAAACAAAACAAAAAAAAAAAAAACACATTTGCTGAATTGGGTTTAAATAGGGAAAAAATGCACAAAAATGAGGAAATTAGCTAAAAAAGCTGAAATTAGAAGAAAAAAAGGTGACAAAGCAGAAAGAAGCTTATTACCAAGTGACATGTAAGGAACTGAAATGAGCTATAAAAAAATTGGAATTAACCTTAAAAGCTGAATTTAGCACCACACCTAAGTAGCAGCTGAAATAGCAGAAAAGGCTGAAACTAGCAAAAGTAAGCTGAATGGAGCAGAACAAGCTGATTATAAAGAATCAGCTAATTAATTAGCAAGTTAATTAGACTGAAGCAGAAATTACCACGAAATACTTGAATTTACCTGGTAGCTGAAATTAGCTAAAAATGCTAAAAGTAGCTGAAAAGGTAGAACAAGCTTAAATTAGCAGAAGAAGGCAGAACCCATATTTGCCCAATTAGGCTGAAAGAAGCAGAAATGAGCAGAAAAAGTGGAAATTATCTGAAAATAACTGAAATTAGGAAGAAGGAAAAAACAGCTGAAAAGCAGCGAAAGCAAAAAAAAAAAAAAATTAATTACCAGAAGAATGTGGAGAGAGCACATTTTGCTGAATCAGGCTGAAAAGTTTAAATGAGTGCAAAAAATGTGGAATTAGCAGAAAAAAAACTAAATTAGCATAAAACAGCTAAATAATAGCTGAAATAGCAGAAAAAGCTGAAACTTGCAGAAAGAAGCTGAAAGAAGCATAACAAGGTGAAATTAGCAGAAAAAAAGGTAGAAGAAGCACAAAAATGTTGTAGTTAACAGAAAAAAATGAAAGGAGCACAAAACAGCTGAAAGTAGCTGATTTAAATATATATATTTATTTATTTATTATTTTGCGTAAGGAAGCTGAAAGAAGACTGGGATAAAATGTGACAAGAATAATAAAAAGTTGTAAAGAGGTGAAGGATGAAAATTCAGCTCAATTTATTTCCTATGATAAATAAATGGCAGAAAAGTCAAACTAAAGTTGCACCAATACCAAAAGTCATAGCAGGATTGTCCTGACAGAGCTGAACGTTTTGATAAATGATTTGTCACAAAAAATGTGGAACGAGAAAGATGCCAAAGGTAACTAGAAGAATTACGAAGAATAATAACTATAAACAAGATGTAATTTACTTTCTCCTGGAACGATGTAAACGATCACAGGATGAATCACTAAGGCGGAAGCTGGATTTTGGTCACGTGACCCTACATCCGCTTGTTGCTGTTCGGCAGCCATGACAACGAAGTTTGAAAAGTTGGATGGATGGCATCAATGAAGAAAAAGATTTCCTCCTCTGAAAAGCGCCAGAAGTCTCTGAAATGCACCGTGTACTTGGACATTTTGAAAGTAAGTGTGTTTTCATTTCTCCGCTTTAGAAGAAAACAGAAACAGCTGTTGCTGCTCGCGCTTTGTTCACGTTAGCTAGCTAACAAGTTGATTCCCTCTGCTAACAGTCCTGGTCTGTGGGCGACAGATCACAGACAACATACAACACCAAGGGCGATCTTTATCGAACAAAATATCATGTTAAGGATATTAATATATATCCATTATTTGAGTCTCGTTAAAATAAACTAAGAAAGCGCTGCTATGCTAATTAAACTGATCATCTGCTGGTGTGAGCGCTTGTGTAAAAGCAGACGAAATGTTCATTTATGTTACAACATCATGCTAAGGAAGGCAGAAACACACTAGTCAAAAGATTTTACCTAAAATAAATATATAAAAAAACATATGTATCGAAACCCCACCAGTAAAGAAAAAGAAAAGAAGAAAGAAAAATACAACAAAAGTCAACAAGTCAATTCAATTCAAAATACTTTATTAATCCCAGAGGGAAATTATTTGTTGTTGTAACTCATTGTCCTCATTTCATTAAGAGATGTTATAGACACTGATGGCTGTAGACAGGAAGGATCTCTTGTAAAGGTCCATCTCACAGTGGATCCTAAGAAACTGGCTGCAGATGCCGTCTGATCTGTCCACCCAGACTTGGCTGGCCTCTTGGTTCCCCCTGTCTGTAGGATCACCCGAATGCCGGGCAGAACTCCTCCCAGAGTGATGGTCACTCACCCAGCAGTCTGCCGAGCTCCTCGTCACTGCGGACAGCCAACAGTAGGTGCAGAGGGACGATCCTGTCCCTCCGCTGTCACGAGCCGTGTTTCCTGCTAGTTTCAGGATCTCAGTGATCAGGCACTCGAGCACAGCTGGCAGGTAGATGAGAATGCGTCCACAGAACATCCTTTTCAACTCACTTGAGATTTGGGGCTGTAGTTGAGATAATATTTGAGCTTTTGAGATGTTAATCAGCTGCTCCTGGTTGTAGAAAACAGCATTGTTGCCATGGTTACGCATCATAACAAATGTCCAAAACTAAAAAAAGTTTCAGTAAAAGTCCTTCCAGCTGCACAGCATTTGATACCAGAGGAAACAATCATCCAAAAAATGTGATTTACATCCAGAAAAAGAGGAATTAGTTTCCAAAAGCAAAATCTCAGAATGAATGTAACAGAGCTGCTCCAACATGCAGCCACCTTGAGCGGCGCAGTTCTAGAAGGTTTGGATCTGAATTTTATTAATTATTATTGTTGCTAAAAGTGGTTCTGGAAACCATTCGTACATTTTCTTGTTCTATTTTTGTTTTTCTGTAACATGATGATAATTTGTTTGTCAGCTAAGATTTTTTTTTACCTCAATTTATGATTTATATGTATTTTTTTGTTTTTGTTTGTTGTTGTTTTTTTTAAATAGCAATGATGAACTTTTCATGCGATAACATTTAATATAAACAGAAGTTTGTCAGATTACTGGTGGGCATCACAACATTACACTGGAGTTTGTTTGAAAGCTGTTTATTTGTACAGTTAAAATACTTGGGCTGATGGGTTGCATATTTCCTCTGCAGTAATTTCTTCACTGGTCAGCAAAGTGATAATTTGTGCATGTCAGACCATCACAGCTGTCTTTGCACCTAGATGTTCCTCTTTAAAGGCTATAGACTCAAATTTTGATAAGTGAGTTAAACTCTCCTATCGAGGCGTGTTGCACAGTGTGTTTGTCTTGTCCTAAAGCTGCATTTGTTGGGCATGAATAAATTATAAACTGTAATCCCATTAAAAAAAATCTCCATCACAGGCTGTACTATTATTTTAAACCCACAATGAATGAGATTCTTTAAACTGTGCGTATGTGAGGTTTTTACCAAAAATAATAAAGAACCTAATCTGCATTTTACCAGACGTGTTGGACTTATTGTGTGCAGGTTACATGTCCAGGGGTGCTTCTGCATGAGAAGAATGACATCTACCTGCGTGTGCGCATCATGGGCCAATACAGGAAGACACTGTGCTTACCTCTTGTCTTCCCGTTACGGTTTCACCACAAAATGTTTTTTGTCAAGGTCAGATCAGTAAAGCAGATTGCACAAAAATAAATAGCCTTGTCTAGGATGCACAATGGGTGGGTGTCTGGGATTTTATAGACGTGGGTTTAAAGCGAGTAGAACGTGTAGTGATTTATTTGTCTATTTTAATGATGTTCCTTTTTTACCACCCTAACATTTGTTTTACATTTTATACTTGGTGTTCAATGTAAAAACTCTCTTTCCTTTTATTTTTGACAACAACAACCAAAAAATCCCAATTGTTTTCAGTCGCATGCATAGATTTGTAGCATTATTTGTTTGTCACAAGTTATTAGTATTAATACATTAATAAGATTATAAAGCTTCTGGGAAAATGTTTAAATTGTCGCCTCCAGTCAAAAGTTTATTCTCTTAGTTCTGATAAAAAGTTTCCTGTTTTTATTAAAGAAAACTCCAGCTTTAGATACTGGCCTGTCAGCCGGATCTTGTCACGAGTATTGATCCTTCTGTCGGCGCTCTTGTTTGTTTTACCAGACTTTCTCGGGTGTTGTTGACCCTGCTGTTGTCGCTGACCTCCTTGAAGGTAAACGGCCATCTGGGATTTACTTCTTCATCTCGTAGTCCTAAACTGTATTCTGCACAATCTTATAGGCTATTAGCGGAGATAGCAATCATTAGCTCACAGTCTGTTTATGCCTTTCTTCCTGTTAGCTGACACAACAGTTTTTGAGCTGATTCAGTTGGTCCCTCCAGGTACGCTTTCTGAAGATGGCCATAATAAATCCCACTCTATCTACTAATTACAATGCAAACTCAAAATATTTTACGTGGATTTTTTTTACAACTGGGCGTGTTCTTTTTGTAATATTATGGCTTTCAGAGGGGGAGCTGTTGGCCACGATGGAGAAAAACAGCAGAGATTTCCTGTACCCAGATCTCACCGTGTTTGACAGAGAAGGAAAAGCAGAGCAAGAGGCCTTCATGAACAGATCGTCCACCTTTCCTGTGAGCTGTTTATCATTTGTGTCCAACTGTTTTCCTTCCAACACTGCCCGTTATGGAAGAGACTTCCTGCGCCTCGGTATAGTGATTTGAGGTTTTTGTTGATTGTATGACACGTTTAAATAATTTTATTGTTTACTATTATTATTATTATTATCATCGAAGAGGTGTTATGTTAACTCCTTTTGTTCACTTTTAAATTTTAATCTACTCTTATTTCTCAGTACCTGATAGTTTCAGCTTGTTCCAAGTTTTCTTAAATGTTTGTATTTTTAAGAAAGGATTTTGTTGAAGGGAGAAATGTGCGTTGTCATTCCACGTCTCGATTCTTTTATTTATTTCTCTTTCTTCCTCCTTTTATCCCTTTATCTTTCATTTTAATTCCTTCAGCTGTTGTCTGTCTTCCCTCCTTTCACCTGTAGCACCAACAGACATAAATGTCTTTAAACACCATTCCCCTCCCTGTTGCTCTTATGTTTATGTTTGAGCGCTACGTAGCAATTTAGATGTCTCGCTTCGAATGCCATATTATTTAAACATCACTGGAGCTTTTCTGTTTTCTGCTGTTTGTTTTTCTCAGCTCAGACGTAGAAGATGTGCGGTTGTAAATTAGTGTTTCATGCAGCGCTTTTATACGTCCTTGTATCTTTGTGTCCCTGTTAAATACTTTTTGTTTGCTCTGTTGTTGCTCTCCTGCAGGGAATCTCCCCTAAAGTGAAGTTCACCACAACATCAGTCATAGAGGAGAGTGATGGGAGCGACAGTTGGGCTGCTTCACCTGTAAGTGTGTTTTTAATACATTTTTAAATCAGTTTTCTCCTGCCATAAATAAATGGGAGGTTTATGCTGAGTACATTAGTATGTATGTGTTGACTACAGCCACAGCGCTGAAGATTGATCTCTGGAGGACTCTAATGAGTGGTATCACTTACCATCACATTTGTCTGTTTCCACTATACATACCCATCTTCCATTGTTGCCATGGCTACTGCATCCATCTATCTATACCAGCAGTGATTCAAGGGTATTTGTTGTCTCTTTGTGAATGTAATTATGGGGAGGCAGATCAGTGTTGCTGATACTGAGGCACACGTCCTGGAGTTTTCACACAACAACCAGTCAGATGCATGTTTTTATACACCGTTTATGCAGGCAGTGGGTTATTTGTGTTTTCACCATTCTGCTTATGAATTTTAAAATGTCAGTATAGTAAGTATTTACTTGTGTATCTTTGTTTCTATTCTGATTTTGGTGTTTTTATGTTTTCTGTCATAACATGATCATATCCTTTGTTGCAAACTTTTGTTTTGATTTAAATCCGTGAGACTAAATAAGTTAATGAAATCAAATGTTTAACAATTCGTAATCTTCCATGCAGTGGTTGGCAAGTTGTGCCAAATACAGACTACCGTATATTTCCAAGGTGAAGTAATCTAAGCTAAGCTATTGGTTTGAATGGGATGTCACTGACAGCAAAGCAGATTGTCAGATTGTTCTGCAGTGGCCCCTCAGGGGGATGTCTGGATCAGAGCACCGCTGTGGCTGTCAGACTGCAGGATTTCTCCATTTTCTCTCTCCTAATGGCTTCTCAGCATAGGCATTTTCCTGACGACTTGTCTATCCCGCTGACAAACTATGTAGTAAACTAACAGAGCTTCAGGAGGAGGGAGACTTCTACAAAACATCCTGAGCAGTACTAATCAATGGAAGCTCACTCAGTACCAAAGGCTTAACTTTGTTCTGGCATTTTGCTTCCACTGTCGTCTAATGTTGTCACAATTCCTTTGTTAAATTCTGTTTTATTTATATATTGTGCATTAATTACACCAATAGTGAGCAGTCTGCTAGTCCACTTTGACTAAAATACCTCAGCAACTCTGAAATGAATTCCTAAAAAATATTTTTGACAATTTCTCTAAATATTAGATTTTATTTGAATTTGAGTTTAAAAAAAAAAAAAAACTGTCTATTTTGGCTCAGATTTTTAAAAATTTTCTGTGAGGTCAAGTACCGGTAATCCAACAGACATCCAGGAGTTAACTAAAGCTAATCAGGTAAACTAAAGATGAAGCCATTTTCCATTTATCGTGAGGACCAACAAGCTCAGGCATCTTAAAAACCACCAAAAAGTTCACAATCCCAATTTGAATTAAAATTCATTTCAGTTTATTTATATAGTGCCAAGTCACAACAGAAGTAATTTCAGAGCACTGAACATAAACATTCATATATAAAAATAATAATTTTAACATTATTTATCTGAGGAGCAGACTGCTTTGAGTTTAACTCCATGCAGAACTCTCATCTTGAGCAAGCATGAGGGCGACAGTGGAAAGGAAAAACTCCCTCACGAGGAAGAAACCTTTAGCAGAACCAGGCTCAGGACAAGCGTCCATCTGCTTCGACCGGCTGGATTTGAGAGAAACATGTAACATCTACTCATCCATCCAGCCATTTTCTGTTTGTCTGCTTTTTCTGTTCAGAGTTGAGGAGCTGCAGCAGTCACTGTGAAAGAGGGGGCACACTATGGACAGGTGTCCATCACAGGACCCAATATCTTATTAAATTTGTTATATGCATGTCCTTTTCAGGTCTTTGTTCATTAAACACAATAATTTATGACATGAATCACATTTTGGTGCTTGTTCACAAACCAACATGTTAAAATCATTACTATAAAGACTATGAGGGTCATTCAGGTCAGCGCTGCGATTGTGAACACATCAGTACAAAAAGGTCAAAGCAGCGTCACACAGGAACAAGATCATGTTATTTATGTTCAAATGTGCCTTTATTCCCAAAAGCTAAGTGATTAAGGAAAAGGCTAATCAGGGTCAAAGCGTCTGACCAGGTGATAGAAAATGTAACTGTCCATTTAGCAAAGAAAAAAACCCCAGAGATGTGGGTCGATTTAAGTCCGAGGTGTTGTATATCAGATTATTGTTGAATGGCAGTGTTGATGATCATTTTATTAATTATTTAGTTTCTCTTAAACATAGGTTTAACATGCTGTCATTTTTCTAATTAGAATTTTAGATTATATTTGTTTTACGGGCAGCCAAGGCCTCTTGATCATATTAGACTAGAGATGGCCATCAAATGCAATTAACATTTTATCTTAACTTATTTATCCCTGGTTGGCATTACCTGCAGGAAGTGAGATATTGCATTAGAGAATGATGTTCGTGGCTGTTAGAGTTATTGAAGTAATTCTGCAGAGCTTGTCTCCATGGCAGTGCTCGCTGCCAGAGCTGTTGTTGTTATAACACTTAAGTGGAATCGTTTAGCTAATGGTTTAATGGTTTTTGTCCAGTGAGAGCAAGTCTTTTGAGAGTGAGAGCCTCTGTCTTAATGGCTAAACTGGGTGGTTCTTTCCAAAAAGCAACAAATTATGGTCTCCACACAAATTTGAACTACTTGAATGCTGTGTGTTACGTTAACATTCTGACTGGAGAGTAAGCTTGTTAATACATTATTCTCTTCTGTTCCTGTAAAATAGACTGGTTGTCTTTCCCCGCTGAGGCCTTCTTTAACCTCATCTCGCCAATGTTCAGCAAAAGAGTCCTCAAACAGTGGATGGTTTTCCAAAGCTGATCACAAGAACTGTGCCAAATGGAAGGAGGGAAAGGAAAAACTTCACCTTGAGACCAAAGTCACAAAGAGACACAATGTGACTAGAGTTAACGCTGGGTACCAACAGCCTACGGTTTCCTCCAGGACACGATCCCTGTCCCCTTACACTCACCGCAAGATGTGTGAACTCTCTGAGGACACCAGGCAGAGACTCAGCCACCTCCAGTTGGGGCCTCACCACTTCAGGAAGGAAACCGAGAGCCAGCCACCTTTCCTGGTCAGTCACATCACATCAGTTCGTTCCAACTACAGCCAACAACATCATCATAATGGACTGCTTAATGCCGTCTGGACACACTCAGTACACGAGGTTTATAAGATTAATGAGATTTTGAGTTGCTGTAGTTCAGACCTCAGTGGAAGCCTCCAAAACTTTAACTTAATCTTGCGGGCAGATTAAATGGAGGGCGTAGTGAGAGAGCAGCGTTAATCTTTTTACCTAAGATATTAATGGATTTTGACGTCATAAATGTGCTTCAGCTATATGTAGATGAAATATGGTCAATTATCCTCACTAAGAGACTTGAGCCGGCTTTAGGAACACGCTCTGTATTTAAACTGGAACACAGATATTTAACAGCTTAATTATGATTGTATCACTGGTTTCTGAGATTTACATATAAAAATGAGTCGTTTTCTTATTATGCAGCTTCAGGGATGAGTATACTGTTGATAGACAAGAACAACATAGCCTCTAGTCTTTCACCCCCCCCCCCCCTCTGCTCTCCACTGTGTTTCTGCTTGTGTGTTGACATCAAATCTAATCCTGAATTATGACCATCAGAGTCCATTTGGACACCATTAACGGAAGAACTGATTAGGCACACTTTATATAGACTTTATTTCAATACAATACTTGTCTTATTTAAAACAAAAGCTTTCTTTTCTGCTTCTGTATTTCCTGTGGGGTGATCTCCCTTCTGTAATTAACCCCCATTAATTGAGAGTCAAGCTGCAATTAACAAATAGACACTTAATGAAGTGGTTCAGCTCGGTGGTAAATGTATTATCAGTGTGGATTTCAGCCCTGCTGTCTGTGAAGAAAAAGGTTTTTATGCAGGTTGGTGTGGGGAAAAAATGTAAGACCTTTTGTGATTTTCTTAATAAAATACTCGGGCCCAAAATGACACAGCAAACTCAATTGTTCGCTTTTATGTTGCTCAAACTGAATTGTACAGCTGTGATTAATGCAGTGTTTATTACTGCACAGGGCAGCAGCAGGAATTATAGTTTTAAACTGGTCTAATCTGGGTCTAAACTATAGTTTACTGTTGCAACTTAGCATGCTGTGCATGTGTGTTACAATGAAAACTAGAGGAATTTGATATCCTGTGAAAATGCAGTGTATGAAAATTCAGCTTATTACTAAAGAACTTGCTGAAAAACAGATGAAATTATCTAAAAAAAAAAAAAAACGTGCTGAAATGTAGCTGAAATGGAAGAACAAGCCTAAGTTAGCAGAAGAAAGCAGAAAGAACACACATTTGCTGAATTTGATTTAAATAAGCAGAAATTAGCACAAAAATTAGTAAATTACCAGTAGCTAAAAAAAGAGCTGAAATTAGCAAGAAATAGCTGAAAAGTAACTGAAACTTCAGAAAAAAAAGTTTAAATTACCAGAAAGAAGTAGAGAGAGCACAATTCAGCCCAATTAGGCTGAAAGAAGCAGAAATTAGCACAAAAAAGTGGAAAATATCTGAAAAAAAAGCTGAAATTTGCAAAAGTCAACTGAATGGTAGTTACAAATTTAGAAAGAAGCTTAAATTACCAGAAGGAAGCTGAGAGAGCACATTTTGCTGAAGTAGGCTGAAAAAGGTTGAAACAAGTGCAAAAAATGTGGAATTAGCTTAAAAAAGCTAATAATATATTAGCATACAAACAGCTAAATAGTTGCTGAAATATCAGAAAAAGCTTAAACTTGCAAAAATAAGCTGAAAGGATCATAACAAGCTGAAATTAGCAAAAAGAAGTTAGAAGAAGCACAAAAAATGTTGTAGTTAGCAGAAATAATCTGACAGAGCACAAAACAGTTGGTGAAAAACAGCTAAAATTAGCTACATGTAGCTGATAAAAGTTTAAGTTTACACAAGCAAGCTGAAAGAAGCTGTACATGAACAAAATGTGCAAGGAGCAGTAAAAGGTTGTAAACAGATGTAAAGATCTGAAGGATGTCAAATGAGCTCAGTTCATTTTCTATGAGAAAAAAAAATGGCAGAAAAGGCTAAATATGTCAAAAAGCTAAAGTTGCACCAATATCAAAAGTCACAACACCCTTCTCCTGAAGGAGCTGAATGTTTGGATATATGGTTGAAATGGCTTGAAAACTGCAGGACGAGATGGAGGCCAAAAACTTTACACACTAGGGATTTTAACTACAAGAAATATAAACAGGATCACAATAGTGTGAATGCTTCATAAGCATTCACAGTATAAACTAATGTAGCCACAACTCATTGTATGCTGTGTGTTGTGACAGGTGTCTGGTTGCAGTAATACGTCTGTAATGGGAACACCTTCGTCCGAGCTAAGCAGCAGTGTGTGTAGGCGCTCTGTCACGTTTGCAGATGGTCACACAGGTAGGCCTCAACTCCACACAAAAACTAATACATGTTCTGTTAAACTGCATCGTGACTTATTGTGAAGCAAAAATAACTCATTTTTTTATATTTTCCAAAAAAACAAAATGAAACTATTTCAGTTTTTGGCACAAACTAGAGGCATTTGGTGTCAATGTGTAAAATCTATTTACTGGTCTTCAGCAGCATCACTGTTCACCTCCGCATGGCATTTGTGTGCTTAATTATATGGTTTCAAAAGGTTTCCTTACATCTGTGTCAAACAATATAGTTTTTAAAGCTGCTAATGCAAGCTGTCTAGTTTCACAAAAGTCTGTCAACACTTGTTTCTGTGCAGATTCTTCTCTCCTCGGGAGTTATCGACCAAGAACAGTTAAAGTAAGTCAGATTTTTTCAGACTCGTATTAACAGTGAGCACAAAGAGAAGTGTTGTGATGTTAAGATTTTGTTTTTTACACAGTCTCTAAAAGCACGTGGACTTCTCCATCCTATTATCAGGACAAACAGACAAACACTCCAGCTTTGCTTATCACGTTCATCATCAATAATTTCCCGCCTGTAAATATAAATAATGGTCAACTTTAGAAGAAAATGTTGTAACAAACATGATCACATGTAAAATACTTAGTAAAAAGGCCAAATATATAAGTAGAACCAGTTTACAATAATAACACAACAGTGTCATTTGTGTTTCTGCTTTGTGTCAAACTAAACTCTTGGACTGAAAATAGAGCAGCGTGTTTTACAAGTGGCCTAAACAGATGTGACCTTACCAGGTGGAGTCGGCTGCAGTGAAGGTCCAGCCGCCTCCTGGGACCTCGTCTAGACACGAACCATGGATCAGAAGCCCTGCGAGAGGTTCCACCTCCGTTCAGTCCAGCTTGGCTGTGTCAGACTCCAGCAGCCGCTCCCTCAGAGACAGGTACATCTTTTTCTGGACTTCAAATCTAAACGAATTAGTCTTTTTTTTTTTTTTTTTTTATCTCAGTGACAATCTAAAGAAATAGATTTTAAAAAGTCAGCCCTGAGAACGATGACTGTGGAACGGTCCGACTCTGTCACTCCAAAGCAGCAGGAGCGACCATAATCCTTTTTTTTTTTTTTTTTCATTTTTTGTGGTATTTACTCTGATTTTGTTGAGATCCATCTGTGTACATCATTTGTGTTTGCTCAAAAGATCTTGAAAGCAAAACTGGCACCTGTATGAGTTCCCAATTACAGAGTTCAGTAAATAGAAGGCGATCCCACGAGGCGCTGGCATACACTGCTGCCGCTGTGCAAGTCTGTGTGCACACACACATCTAATCTTTAATTTTGATCACACTCGACGGGCGGGATGAATTCCCCTCCACCTTTTAAATTACAGAAGCTGATGTCTTGTCATGTTCGTTCATTACTGACAGAGAAGGGAAAACAAAGAGGAAATGGTATTGATTTGTGTTTCAGCTCGAGACTGATGCATTTGACCTGATGTACACTTTAATACGTTCAGAGAGACCTTGTCATCAATCACAGCAGATGTTCCGTTTTGTTTGTTTGTTCCCCACCCCCCTCCCTCCGTCCTCTCTGCTGAGTTCCTAAGTAAACATTAAAATCAATAGACAATCCTAAACTGAAAAGCAAATTGCAGGAAATGAATGATACTTTTCTCTCAATTGGAAACGCGACAGGATTTGTTGGGTGTGAGATTAGAGTTGGTCTTTGTAGATGCTCTCTGACAGGGAAAGGGACACGTCTTTCCACGAACCTCTGATCTATAAAGAAAATGACAGATGCCACCGGCAGCTTTTGCTCTCCCCCCTAAGCCTCGGAGTCTCAGTCTATTCATGTTTCTGGATGATTTGTCCTTGATGACTTTTTGAAACAGGTAGTGAGTTTATCTGATTACGGATCAAAAGCGTCTGTCCCAACATGGCCAGCAAGGCGGTCTGTCACTCATCTCCCCTCCCTCCTCAACAAATAGACGTGGACGACAAGTTGTAGAGTGGGATTTATTTGTCAATTTAATCTGTTTTAGCCTGACACACTGCACAGATCCAACGAAACACAAACCGCCCTCCACGTTCTGCCTGTTCTTGGTCGTTACTTTGTTTTAGAACAGATTAAAAAATAAAATAAGAAGCTAAAATCAGAATGATCGTTGCAATCAAAGAGATGCCTCTCTAATTGTCGTTAACTGGGTGACGCACCATCCTCTCATCTCTAATCTGTGCTTATAGCGCAGACTAGTGGGCAAAAGGAAGGTCTGCCATCAACATTGTTAAGAAATAAGATTTTAAATGCACTAATGAAACCTCCTCACCATCCTCGTGTACAAAGGCAGCATTAATATGAGTTTAATAATTTTTTAAAAAGCTGTGATGCTAAAAGAGTTCAACATTTATGGACAGCAGGTATTTTATTAATAACTTGATGAAGGTGGGAGTGGTAGAAAAACAAAACAAAATGGTGATTAATATTAAAAAGTGATTCTTTAATTATATAAATACATAAGAGAAAAACTGTATAATAAATATATATTGTATATATAATTATAATTATTGTTTTGGAATGTAAATTTCACTTGTTTAGAACATCTGTCCCAAAGTGAAACCACTAACAGTCGGGAAAATAATTTGTCTCAAGACTTTCTCAGAATAATTATCATACCAGAGCAGTTTTATGAATAAAACTAAAATAAGTCTGTTTTATAAAACAGCATCAGTGTTCAAAGGGTTCAGGTGTTTCCACTTTAAATTCAATTGAACTGGTTCATATTTGAGGTCTGATAGACAATAATTCATGTGCTGAAGCAGGAAAATGTTTTTAAAAAAAGGCAGATTTGGGATTGGATTTCGTTAAAACAATTTTAGTAATCAAATTATATTTAGAACAAGAGAAATGCAACGTTTTCTTGTGATTTGTTGTATTAGCGCATGTCTTTATACTTTTAGTTCCTCAGAAGTAAACTTTACCTTGACGCTGACAAAACGCAAGAAGTATTTAAAGTTCAAGAATGAAAAAAACAATTTGTTTGAGGGCAAAAAAAAAAAAAAAAAAAAGCATGACACAGCAGAAATACACTTTTATCTCAACTATCTAAATTGTCTCCAATGTTTAACAAAGTTCAGTCAAGTCATCTGGACGGTTTCTTTTTCTGCTGAGAAGTTTCGTCCTTCATCCAAAGGACTTCATCAATCCGAGGAGTTACAAACAGCACCACCTACACAGTGGACCAACCAGTAGTCGTCGATGGGAGAGAGGGCGGGCCATCACCAGCAAACTGGTTGGTCCACTGTGTGGGGGGTGCCATTTGTTTGTGGCACCTCAGATTGATCAAGTCCTTTGGATGGATGAAACATCTCAGAAAAATAAACCGTCCAGATGACCTGACTGAACTTTGTTGGATTTTCTATCTGGATTATCGAGCATGAACTCTGATCTCTGTTTAACGTGTGATACTGAAAATTGAGTTAAACTTCTCATCTGTCTCAGATTTCAGACGGGTCCATCCTACTGGGAGCAGATCCACAGCAGAGTTCAGAGCATTCTGCGCACACACAAAACCACTTTGACCCACAGAGTGAGCGAAGACCTTCAACTCGACAGGACTAAAAACAGAATGCGAATTACTGAGTTTCTGCCATGAAGTCATTTTAATATTGCAGTTTTCTGTCAAAATAATTATTGCTGGTTAGACTAAAACACATCTTACATGTAGAAATAAAACCACATCAGCTGTGTATTTAAAAATCTTTATTCATAATTTCAAACCTTCCCAGCACACGCTGGCTTCTTGTTCCTTTTGAAAACGGCAGGATATTTGCTCTGGTTCTGTTCAAAACTGTACCAACACTGCTTTCCTCCCACCTATCAGCTGGGCCGCAATAAAAAAAAAAACTAAATTTCTCTAAAGCCGTCTGAAATTGGCTCGGGTATATAGAAGCAGTATTTCATGCGTGTGGGAAGGAGACGAGGCGGATGTAAGCTGCAGCTGTTAATGGGCTCGTCTCTTGAAACGCCAGAGACACAAGAAGGTAGTCGAGCCACCAGACTGAAGGGATCTGAGAGAAGAGGAACTAAAGGAATCCTGAATGAAAGAGCAGGAAACAAAAAGATTTCACCAGAAAAATGCAAACATTTACACACAAACTGCCATTAAAAAGCAGAATTGTTTGAAGTTTGCCATTTTTATCAAAGTGGAAGTGTGTATTTCTGCCAGATTATTTCAACAGTGAGTTCATTCCAGATGTTCTGAGACCGAACTCTGTCTGAACGACACTAAACACTGTTGTAAACGACCACTTTTCAACTGGATCAAGGACCATAATGTGAAAATCAAATATTCCTAATGCATTTCCCCAAACAGATAAAAATGTTTCGTATTGTACGATTTTGTTGCACAACAGGTTTCAGGTGGACATAGAAACAATACTTCAAAGAGCAGTTAAATCTGAATATTCAGGCCTGTGATTTGAATTAAAAATGATGCAGTCTGATCACTGCTAGTCTGTTTTAGCGCCTTCAGATAAGAGTATTTATGAAAAGCCTCCAAGTCGGTGTTCATTATATCTTCAACTTCTTCTGGAATTTCTTCTTGTTCCTCCTGCCAGCTCCTTGTGCTGCTTTCTCTGCCATTACCATCTGGTACCTCTTTTTGTTTTTCCTGAAAAAGAAGAAATGCATATTTATTTATTTTTTTATGTGATTAGTAAGAACACCAACACTTGATGTCCACTGAATGCATCTTGCTCTACTTTTGCAATAAATCAATGTTCACCAGAAGCAGCACTAGACTAGAAGAAAATAGAAGTTTTATGTTCTGCAGTAAATAATACCATCTACTACTACTACTACTACATCTATGGCTCAGGAAGATAGACTCAAACAGCCAATTAGCTAATATCTTAGTGCAGTTATTATTGACTTTAATTTTTTACAGTTCTTTAAAATTTCCTACAACCTAAATGTATACTTTTTTGTCTTTATTAAATATTGAATATATTCTCTGCACTCAGCAGGTTGATCGGAGTCATTTCTAGTTTTAAATGTCAAGCCCACAATAAAATAATAAAAACATCCAGTGAAGATTAAAGCTGCCGATGAACGATGAGGCCAAACGTTGCAGTTTGTAACTTGCCGTCTGAACTCGGCGTCAGCCAGCAGCTCCTCCACCATGGTTCTCTTCCTCTCCTTCTTGGGAACGTGGGAATGGTAGAAGTCGGCTGGGTTGTCCACCACTGTGCCGATCTACACCGCACACAAACACAAACATTTACAGAATGTGGTATCTGACAACCTCACAATAATACAAAGTGAAATGTTGCATTGTAAAACATTTGAATATAACATTTTGAGGATCTGCCTTTTTTATTATTTGAAGACTACGAGTGTTCATACTGACCTGGAAATATTTGGGAAACCCATCTCTGTCGTTCTTTTTGTAGAACCTCTTCGGATCCAGGGAGCCTCTCATCTTCAGGATTTTGAGGTCTCCTTTCAGCTCCTGAGTGAGCTCTGGGGCCTTCATATCAAACCAACCACTTCCTGTTGATTTCTCCCGCTCGGCCTGGGGAAACAAACAAAACAATGACGTCTGTGATTTCTTTAAGGTGTAGAACGAACTGCAACCTTCTTGGATGTGAGGGCTCCACATCCCGGACGATTGGATTCAGTAAATTATTTCACTGCACAGATGCTTACAAACTTTGACAGCAGTAAATCTATACACCAAAGGACTCCTCTGAAACTCACTCTGCGTTTGAGCTTCAAGGCTTGTTTGGATTCACTGCAATGAGGCACTGCGTCCTTCTTCTCAAAGTCTGGTCCAATCACACTCTTCTTCATCACCTGTGCAGGAGAGAAAACTGCTCAAAACTCTACAAACGTTCAATAACTCGGAAAATAAAGGTCAACGTCAAACAAGCTACAAAAACTGAACATCTAAAAGTTTATAATTCATTCGTTGCCTCGGATCACCTTCAGAAGAGAAAAAAAAATCAATCCTTAATTTACCTCATCTAGGTTCTTCTTCTCCTTTAGCTTTTGCGATGAACTGGAGACGGGTTTTGATTTGCTGCCATCAAAACTGATGTACAACCCCCCGAGCTCCTTCACTCTGATGCCGGGGTCAATACGGCTGGACAACTCTTTCCTGAAATTAATAGGCACGGAGAAAAATCCTTAGGTGCAGCAGCCACGTCTCATTTCTCACCTCTGTTCGTTTGAAATATACATTTATCAAAGTGTTTGATGAGTGAGCCGTCCTGTCTGCAGAAACATCTGCAGCAACAGCTTTAGAAAACAGACAGCATCTCGTGGACCAGTTATAAAACGTTACATTACTGTGTGAGTGTTCCTGAAGTGTTCACACTGTTGTGATCCATTTTTCTTCTGTACGTTTTGGGCATCTTTCTCGTTAACAACACCATCCATCCATCCATTTTCTTTACCCGTTTATTCCATTTTGGGTCACGGGGGTCGCTGGTGCCCATGTCCAGCAATCACTGTGCGAGGGGCGGGGTACACCCTGGACGGGTCGCAAGTCCATCACAGCGCCACATAGAGACAAACGAGACAAACAACCATTCACTCTCTCACTCACACCTAGGGACAATTTAGAGTTACCAATCAGTCTAACATGCATGTTTTTTGGACTGTGGGAGGAAACCGGAGTACCCGGAGAAAACCCACGCATGCACGGAGAGAACATGCAAACTCCACCCAGAAAGGCCCCTGGACCGGGGTTTGAACCAAGGACCTGCTCGCTGAGAGGCAGCAGCTCTACCAGTTGCGCCACCGTGCTGCTCGTTAACAACACAAAAGGTTAAATCATTTCATCTGGACCAGTTTCTTTGAAGGAGACACGTTTTGTCTTCCATCTGGAAGAACGTTTCTCCCTCACAGAAACTGGTCCAGATGAAATGATTTAACATTTTTTATTGTTATCTACCTGGATGACTGAGCTTACACCTTTTTTTTTCACATTTCTTGTTCCACAATTTTTGTGTTATTCAACAACTCTTATCAAAACATTCAGCTCTTTCAGGACAATCCTGCTATAACTTTTGGTATTGGTGCAACTTTAGCTTTTTTAAATATTTAGCCTTTTCTGCCATTTTATTCTCTCATAGAAAATGAATTGAGCTCATTTTACATCCTTCAGATCTTTAGATCCGTTTATAACCTTTAACTGCTCCTTTCACATTTTGTTCTGGTTCAGCTTCTTTCAGCTTCCTTGTGCAAATTTGAACTTTTTTTCAGCTACTTTCAGCTAATTCCCGCTGTTTGTTTCAGCTGCTGTGCTCCTTTCACTTTCTTTCGGCTAACTACAACATTTTTGTGCTTCTTTTAACTTTTTTCTGCCAATTTCAGCTTGTTATGCTCCTTTCAGCTTATTTCTGCAAGTGTCAGCTTTTTTACTATTTCAACTACTATTTAGCCGTTTTCATGCTGATTAGCTTTTTCAGCTAATTCCACATTTTTTGCCCTCATTTCAACTTTTTCTGCCTAATTCAGCAAAACTGTGCTCTCTCCACATCCATCTTGTAATTTCAACTTATTTCTGCCTTTTTAATTTTTTTTTTTTTAGATAATTTCAGCTTGTTCAGCGTGTTCAACTGTCCCCCTCTTACTATGCTGTGATTGCTAGTATCACTCAGCCCTCTGTGAATAGTAAACAGCCATCAGTGTGCCAATGATCCATTGTTAGGCTGATGGTTCTTCTTGAGCATGTGATCAGCTGGTTTTGGTTGTCAGCAGCAAACTGGTTGATCCACTCTGAGAAGGTGCTATTTAAGAGACTGAGCTGAATACAGCACCTCAGACTGAGGAAGTCTCTCGGATGAGAGACGAAACGTTTCTACATTTTTTTTGTTGTTGTTTTGCTTTGTTTTGTTTTTTGAATGTCCAGAGGACCAGATTTAATTTTTTTTCCTACCTGGATTATTGAACATGCATCAGGATAATTTCAGCTTGTTTCAATTATTTTCCAATTTTTATGCTAATTTTTGCTTCTTTCAGTCTAACTGGGCAAACATGTTTTTTCTGCTTTCTTATGCTAATTTACTTGTTCTACCTTTTCAGCTATTTTTTTTTTTTAGCATTTTGTAGCTAATTTCAGCTGTTTTCAAATAAATTCACGTGTTTCTTGGTAATTTCTGCTACTTTCAGCCCAATTAACTTATTTCTACTAATTTCAACTTGTTACGCTCCTTTCAACTTTTTTCTGCTGGTTTCAGCTTTTTCTGCTCTTTCACCTACTTTTTAGCTGTTTTGTGCTTAATTTACCTTTTTCAGCTAATTCCACATTTTTTAGCTCATTTCAGCTTTTTTTTTTTGCTTCATTCTAGTAATTTAAGCTTCTGTTCAACTATTTTTTTGTTGCTCATTTCAGCTTTTTTAACTAAATTCCTAATTTTTGTGCTCATTTCTGCATATTTAAACTTTATTCAGCAAATATGTGTTCTTTCTGCTTTCATATGCTAACTTGGGCTTTTTCTCCCATTTCAGCTACATTTCAGAATGATTTTTTTTTTTTTTTTTAGATAATTTCAGCTGTTTCAGCAAGTTCTTCAGCAATAAGCATTCACACTGCATTCTTGCCAGAAATGCAATATCTCCAGTTTAATTACAATTATTTGAACTAATCTTGTTTAATGGTTAATGTAGTTACTACAAAAAAAAAAAAAAACAGCAAGGAGAAACAAATATTTTTCATCTTGCAGTTTTGACAAACTGTGAGGAAAACTTTCGTTAACATTTCAGAATTCATGTTCAAATTATGTATTCAGTAAAAACTGGGCGAATTATCTAATTATCAGCCTCATAGTAGAATAATGGCATCACAAGGAACAGGTAAACTCATTTAAGTTATTTATATGACAAATATCCACTAAAATGTTGCAATTATGATCTTAAAACACCTAACATTAAAAAATTTCCATCTAAAAACTAAAATATGTTTGTTGTATGTTTAAGCCATGATATAATGAAGCTTTGTTTGAAGCAGTGGCACAAACAGCTAAAAGGAAAAGTTTAAACGGACCATGACGTGTTGCTGCGTTTAGATTTAACACCAATGTTAAGAATCAATCCTGCAGGAGATTTCGTCACTGCAGTATTAAACCCACAAGGGACTGATTGTGTTGTAATAAACCTCATGTCATATTTCCAGTTCCATACATTCACATTCTGCATACAAATCATTATTTGGTCAATCTTTTGGACTCTTGTTGGCCTTGATGGTTTAGATGATGGTGATGACAGAAGAGAAAATGAGGAGTGAGGGAAATCTGGGTTTATCACAATTAGTACTGTCATTGTAATATTAAACAATAGTAATGCATAACCCAAAGTTTTCTAATATTGTGCAGCCACACTGCTTTATCACACTGACCAGATCATTTGTAAATACATTTGTCAGAAACCAACACACATTTTTCTGTCAAGCCCAAACTAAAGATGAAAAGATTCTCGTTCCAAAGTATTAAATCAAACATAAAAAGGTTATCTTGAGCTAAATCAGAAGGTCCAGTTTGACTGACGTTAATTCCAGTAGTTTTCCAGACTATTTAATTCTGAAATGTGGGTCCACACTCAATGTAAACAAAGCACTTGGCAGAATCAGCAGAAAGCCTACGGTGAACATGGCTGACCCACAGACCAGCTGTGGTCTGCAGGTAAACACATGTATGTAGTTAGCATCTGGGTCACAGATTATGTTGCTAATTTGTAAGAGGTTTGATTTTGTTTATTTGTGGGGAGGGAGTGGGTTTTATTACTTTGTAATGAGTACCTTTAACATTCTGACACTGATCCGACTCTGGTTTAGTTTCTCACTGACGCACTTGGACAAAAAGAAAAACTTGTAATATTCATGTTTCTTTCCATAAATGGACAAAAACCATTGTTTGATGTACTTACACTTGGAAACTTCTGCATGATGAAAGGATTTTTGAGCTCTCGTCATCATCGTCATCCTCCTCTTCATCAACAAACTCCTCATCTTCCTCCTCCTGATGAAGTGTTTTGTTCGTGGCCTCCTCTTCCTCTCTGTAGTACTGTTCATCAGCGTCCTGTCCAGGCCGCTTGTCAATCATAAACAGGCCTTCAACTGATGCAGCAGACATGTTGGAAGGTCCTCCTTGTCTCTCTTCTTCTTTCTCCTCGTTAAACAGCTCCTCATCATCATCGTCGTCATCATCACTGCTGTCCAGCAGGCTGATATATTTTGCACTCTGGACAGCAGCATCTTCAGCCGCCGGCTGAGTGTCTGTTCTCAACGTGCTAACAGTTTCCTGCATCGTTACGTCTGAGACGTCCTCGTCTTTAACTTCAGCAGACAGCGCCTCCTCCTGGTCTTCGCTGGTCATTGCACATTCTCCATCTGCTTCTTCAGCACAAACTGCAGAGAGCGCCACGTGAGGATCAGCTTCAGAGATGTTCGTTGCGTCCTTGTTTTCTGGTTTTGTATCTGCTTCACTGGAACCCACAGCAGTTTGCTTCACACCTTCAGGTGTCTGCATGTGGTCCTCCAGCAGGGTGCAGTCTGCATCATCTGCGGTCATGGTGCTTTCTAACCTGGAGTCGTTCAGCAAACTGACCTCAGCTGATTCTACAGCATTTTCTGCGTTGCCACCACGTTTCCTGGCTGAGCGCCTGGGGGCCGGATCCACTCGGTTGCTGGTCCCTGAGTTTGCACGGCTGCTGCTGGGGGTTCCTCTGCTCTGTGGGCTGCCCACTGAGGAACTGTCTCCCATCACCTCAGATTCTGAATCCTCAGTTTTTGGACCCTCTGACTGTGTTTTGGCTTTTCCACGAGTGCTTAAACTGTAAGTGGGTCCAGACTCAAAGCCGTCAGAATCACAAACCGGGGGCTCGGAGACATCTACGGTGGCTGCTGCTTTCCTTCGTGTGGACCTGGTCTGCTGACCTGTCTGAGAGCTTTCTGACAGCTCGTCTAAGAGAATGGGAATTGGACACGGTTTTCTTCTGGACACTCGTCTTATGATGCTGGAGGCGCAGCTGTCAGAGTCTGAGACCTCAGATTCTACAAGCTGCCGTTTGGCAGACGATCTGGCACCAGGAGGTTTTCTCTTACCTGTTGCAACTCTCTGGGATTCAGACATCGCAGAGCTGCAGGACTCTGCTTCGGGCACGAGGTCGGGTTTGACGTCTCCCGCCGCAGCCTGAGCTGAATCAGAACTTTTAGGGGCAGTTTTTCTTCTCAAGCTGCTTCTGAGGCCAGATTTGGATGTAGATACAAGAAAGGAGCACGACTCCACCTCAGACGTCTCTTCATTTTCCTGATTTCCAGCTTGTCTGCTTCTCCTCATGGAGCGTGTGACTGGGGGTGCGGTTGTAGAGACTGCCGAGCAAACCGACCCCCCGTCTGATGTGTCTGCTTCATGGACAGAGCCCACAGGTGTGGAGGGAAGCTCTGGACTGTGGACCCTCAAAGCTCTGGTGCATCTTTTGTTAGTGGAGGTGGCAGGAGTTACCGAGAGATGCCCACGGGTCTCTTCCAGGGTCGTCTGGACTTGACCTACTTGTTTAGCTGCGCTCCGAGTTTTTCGGCCAGTGGAAGGAGTGGCCTGTGAAGAAAATACACGTTAAAACTAAAGTTGGTTCTTCACACTCTTTTAAAGCATATCGAAAACTGACAGTTGTCAAGATGCAAATCTAAAAATAAAAATCATTTAAAAAAAACGGTAAAAACTTTGCCGAGTTAAACGCAGTTCACAAAAACTGTTCCCATCCCCTCAAATACACAACTCACGTTTGTCCTCAGAACAAAACCACCTTCATCTATCTATTCACTAATCAAAACTTTTTATTTGTAGTACTTTCATTCATCTTTTTTTATTTGCATATTCTAAAACAGAAATAAATAAAAAAACAACAGAAGTTTGACACTTTCTTTCTGACAGACTCTAATCCTACACTGTGTTGTGTTTAACCAAGTCCATTCATATACACATGCATACATTTTATTCTAAGAGAAAATTATTAAAATATATTTGACTTGATTTGTAAGCATATTTAAGAGTCAGTGTGACACACTGACATCAACATATTTAGGAATAAAAAGACAGAGTATGGATTGATTAAAGTTGACTAATTTAGAACCATGTACAACAATAATACACTCCAACAGATGTTTTCTGTCAGATTTATCTATCTGAAGTCTATAGGCTGAACATTCACTGCAGTGGACACATCTGTACAGGTCTGGTGAACACATGAATATGAAACTATCGTCTTTAGATAATACTTGTTGTACTAGTCAGTCTGTTTCTTTCTCAAAGTCGGACAGCAGGGCTCTGTGAACATGCTGCACAAGGAGGCTGACATATTGATTTTAGGGAAAGTTGAGAAAAAACACATCCAAACAGAAAGTACTTCATTTTTCCATCTGTAAGACCGAGAAGAGAAAAATGGCAAGAAATGCTGCATGTTTGTGAAAACACCCCACTGCTTTGATTTGTTTAGGTCTGTTAGTTGGTTTGTGAACTTATTGATACTATTGACAAGAATAATTTGAAAAACACACAGATTTAATTGAAAACATAATAATTTTAAATGGTGACTGTACTGTACTTATATAGCACCTTTCTTTCTATCTACCCCTCCACAAACATTCAGAGCACTCATCTCTACTAATCTAATCTGTAGAGACTGATCTCCACCACCAGAGGACTGCAGGACATGTGGATCCTGAACATGTAAACTACAGTAGATGTTGTATAAATAAGCAGTCGTGTATGAGGAGTCAGTGGAAGGCTCCCCCAGTTAAAATCCATCACTGGTCATTAACTTCTTATAGATGTTGCTGAATCATTTATTTATTTGTGCTAAGTAGTTTAAAATATTACCTAAAGTTGAGCACACTGGACGTCTCAAAAGTTTTAGACTCGATTTAATTTTAAACTTGATTTTAAACTTTCCACTGGTTCAGCTCTGCTGTGACCAGCTGTTTTTATTCATGGAAACATGTTTTGCTGCAGTGTGCGTGACAAAACTAGGAAATTTACAAACACAAAACGCTTACTCGTTTCTGTCCACGTGAGGTTTTCGGCAGATCCACGCACCCGCAGACTGACACGCGACAGCTTTAATTTGCCGCCGCTTTGACACCTCTGTTAAACCTCGGATTATCTAAGGCTCTTAACGCGTCTCTACGCCAGACGTACCTGAACCGAAGATTGCATCTTCTGGTTTATTTCACTGGAAGAGTCCGAACAGACTCCGCTCCTGGTGGCCACCATCTTGGATGTTATATTCTTCTTCTTGTCACTTCCGGTTTGGAGTTCAGACCTGAGTAATCGATAGTGAGAAGCCGAACAACCCAAACACGAATCCGATACCTAGACTCAAGTTTTTATTTTTCTAATTTCAAGTTCAATGCTTGGGATTCTCGTACTTAAGTTTTAACATATGAATTTATTTTGGTTCACTGCGAGACAGAGTCAAACAAACATAAATTTTATTAAAGCCAAATCATCATATACATACATGGCATTTTAAATAGTACAACAGAGGCTTGGACCCTGTCTAACACTTGCATTTAAAAAATATCTTTTTCCATCAAACATATTAGATCTACATCTTTCTGAGGAGTTTCCAGTGCTGTTTTTACAACATATAAATTACAATAACTTGTTAAAATAGCTCTCTCTCTTCTTTCAGACTAATCTTGTGGGCATCAGGATGTAAACATGATGCACCTTCAAACAGTACAGTCAAAATTATGAATTTAAATTAGATATCCAGTCTGCAACAGAAAAAAAAAAAAAATACTGGGCTTCAGATGGTGCATTACTTTAAAAAGTACAGGAATGTTATAAAGCAAATTCAACATGCATGTATAAAAGACAACTGTATTCCCTATTTAATGTCTTAAAATTATATTTTAAAAATTTTGACTAACTTTGGTTCTTTCAAAAACAGATTTACCACCAGAATCTGTTTTGATTTGGACCAGTACAGTGAAAACATGAGCAACAGAGGCACATTGTCAAAACACAGTTAAATCACTTTCAACTAACCAAAGCTAAGCAGACAATTTTTTTATTAGCTTCTGCTGTGCTTTAACATGGCCGCTAGTGTACTGCTCACACAGTGCTAGTCACCTAAGTGATTTTATGAATCTCATGACACTGACACAGAAGTTGATCTATTTCTGATCTCACTGAGATGATAACTACCTGACCTGTTGCACATTAAATCACAGATGTGGAAGATGTGAAAATATCAGAAGATAAAACGATACAAGATTTCAAAACTAGCAGCTTCCATTACGCAGAGCTGTATCATTGAGTGCTGTGTGAGAATGAAAATATAAAAATGGCTTCATCCACGCGTCTTTGAGTGCTAAGGGCTCGCCCTGCTCGCGCTGACGAGGTAGCCCTTAGCCTTGATGATGCCCCTGCTCTTGACGATGACTGAGTAACGGAGGACCCACTCCAGCCTCCAGTCAGCGACCTTCAGGTCATGCACGGCCTCCTGCACTGCCTCCTGGAATGTGGCTACTGACATCAACTCTGAGTGGGACAAAAAATAAATAAATACCTACAGTAAGAAAAGACAATCCACAATACGTAATATGATTTTACTCTGAAACAAATCACAGAAGAGCAATTGAACTATTAATGAACATTTCCTCACCAAGTTACTTTCATTATCTCAATAAGAACAGAGTAAACATGAAACATCGGTCTTGACTAAAGAAGTTTATGAGAATCTATCGAGTATTGTTGTGATTTAATGCACTTGTTTGTGGGTGGTTCATGATTTGAGTTGTGTTTAGGACCGATGTGTAGTCCAGAAGGCATATTGTTGTTGGACAGTACGCATGTGCTCAATAATGTTAGAAATAAATATGATAATTGGAGATAAATAAAACTCATAGATAATAAAGAAAGCGAGTCAGGGACTCTGCCTACAGCAAGTCAAAATCCTTTAATGGCTGCATCAGTGATTCACAGTGAAAACTGCCCAGGAAAGTAATAAGACAATTCCCTTTCATTGGAATTAAAAGAACTTGTGCGTGCTGTAACGCATCGCCTGTCCCTGAGTGCTGAGGAGACACCTGCGTCCACCGGAGGTGCTGCAGAGGACGGACGGTGGAACCAGCAGGTTGATAAATTAAGGACAACAGAATGTGGAAAGGACACCAGGCTGCAACTTCAGTGTTAGTGGGACTGATTAGGATACTGATCATTACTAATTCTGTGAATCGAGGCATGAATGGTCAATGGCCATGGCTTAATTATGTGTGCACATGGGTTTGGGGTGTAAATCCACACTTGGTAACCAAAAAGAAAGACTTTTCTGTCCATTACAACCGAGAATACGGATAGTGGGAGAGACAACTAGTGGAGCTGCTCATGACTTACAGACATTGAAACTGCTGATGGTTCAAATGTGAGCACTGGGCGTGCCAGACAAAGCGCACTGTTAAGTTAACTAGTGAAAAAAATTGAAATGTTGCAAAATGCTAAAAAGGCTACAATTAACAAAGCTAATAATTTCAGAAAAGGTGTGGAAGAGGTAATATCTAAAAGTGGTCATAAAAATGATATAAAATGCCTTTTAATCATTTTATTGTTTTATGGGATGAAGTAAAAGGTATTACATGATAAAATGCAAAATAACATTTATTCAGCCCACATTTCCAGGTTGTCAGCGTTGACACATAAACGCGACGCGTTAGCGGTGACATATTAGATGCGACGTATACGGCAAAACAACGTATTTATGATTTTTCCACTTTGTTAGCTAAATTTGGACCGATGTGAATTATGGGGCGGTGCAACGTGTACGGCGGAATTACGGTATGCATGTGCGCAATTATTTTAAATATGATAATTGGAGATGAATAAAACTTCCCAATAATGAAGAGAGTGAGTCTGGGACTCTGTTAATGGCAAGTCCAAAATAACGGCTGCATCAGTGATTCACAGGGAATCACACTAATTTCTTGTCTTTTCTCAGTTTGTTTTAATGTCAGCTTCAAAGTTGTTTCTAAATTAGTGTGGACTGCAGTAAGATAAAACGAGTGTTCACCTTTAGGGTCGTTGTGCGTGAGCAGCTGGATGTCAAACTCTTTTGCAAAAGCTGTCAGGTCAGGAGGCATCACACAGCAGGAGGCCAGGTTGACCTGATTACTGCTGGGCTTCACCTGGTTAAAATACAGGAAAGGTGATGGATCCCCACTCTTTAGACCTTTCACTGCTCTGATTATGAGTTTCCACTACAGATAATGGATCACAGCCCAAATGCACAAGAATCTCACCAACCTGAGCCCAGTTGTAGAGCTGCTCCAGCAGATCTTTGTCCAGATCAGACGTACCGATGGCCACAATCTTCTGGCTCCTGACCAGAGCCTCCAGCTTCTCCCATGCTGGCTGCAGATGAGTCAGAGTCTGGCCGTCACCCTCCAGAGGCCAAGGTGGCGCTATGATAACAGAGTCGAGCTGGGAAACAGCCAGCATCTGGCAAGCTGCAGGTGAGAAGCAAACATGGCTGTTTCACTCTGAGATTTGATGATTTTTGTTGTGATGTTTAGAAAGTGCATTTTTATGATAAGCTCACCCATCTCCACTGCATCTTTGATGGCAGACTGAGCCGGCTCACACAGAAAGAGCTTAACTGCAAAAAACACAGGACCTATCAGAATGTCATCCTCCACATACCCCGGTTAGATTAGAGCGCTGGATTCGGGAACGGTTTTTACACAACGTTCAGTTGGATGTCTGGCAAATAAATCGATAGATGAAGCTTTTGTCCTTGGTTACCCATAACCCAGGAGAAATTTGATAGCCGGCCCATTCCGAGGCCATCGGGAGTCAGATTCAGATAAGATTGATTGTTATTTTTCTTCAGGCAGACAGATTTTTTTTCTTGAGCCTTGAGTCCATCTGGACGTTCTGGTTCCAAAATAGCCTAATTGTGGGATTCCATTCCATTGAGCCATGCTACGAGTCTCCCTCAAGGTTGAACCCACCATGCTGACGAGTCCCAGAAGCCGCAGGTGGCCTGCGATTCTCATAAATTGCCTCCACCTTATGGTTTAGCTCGTAAACCAGTTGATTTAGAGTTCTTACAGCACGGACCAAACCTTCACATTGACTCAGAAGCTTTTCCATGGCCAAAACTGCTGCCGAAGTCTTCTTTAATAGACGATAAAACAGAGCCCCACCAATGCCAAAAAGCAGAGTCCCTGCTATCATAAATCCAAATATGTAAACGTCTTCAACATCCTCCTGAGACAGAACTGAGAGGCACATCAGCTGCCACACTCCCCACAGATCCATGACATACCCCACAGCGTGCGTCTCAGCTGGACACGCCGGTTCTCCAGGATCTTGTCACTTTGATGAAAAAATCTTATCAATAGAGTTGAACGTCCAAGATACCAGATCCATAATCTTCTTAATTTACGTTCAGGAGATGTGAACCAGGCACTTCAGACACACAGAGAGCAGAGCAGGAGGAAGGAAACACGGGGAAAGACAGAAGCAGCCACCTCGATGAGAGCCAGGGAGGAAAAAAAAAGTTCTTGAGTTCTTGGCCATGTGCCTTTTATTAGAGTGGCTTTCATCTGGACACTCTACCATACAAGCCTGATTGATGGATTACTGCAGAGATGGTTGTCCTTCTGGAAGGTTCTCCTCTCTCCGACAGAGTGACCATCAGGTTCTTGGTCACCTCCCTGACTAAGGTCCTTCTCTCCCGATCACTCAGTTTAGGCAGAAGGCCAGCTCTAGGAAGAGTCCTGGTGATTCCAAACTTCTTCCACTTGTCCTCAGTGGAACCTTCAAAGCAGCAGAACATTTTCTGTATCCTTCTCCAGATTTGTGCCTCAACACAGTGACTTTGACTTCATGCTTGGTGTTTGTGCTCTGACGTGCACCGTCAGCTGTGGGACCTTATGTAGACAGGTGAGCCTTTCCAAATCAAGTCCAATCAACTGATTTTACCACAGGTGGACTCGTAGAAACATCTCAAGAATAATCAGTGGTAACAGAACACATCTGAGCTCAACTTTGAGCTTCATGACAAAGGCTGTGAATACATACGTAAATGTGATTTTTTTTTTGTTTTCCATTTTTGATAAATTTGCAAAAATCTCCAAATATATTTTTTCACATCATCATAATGGTGTATTGTGTAGACTTTTGAGGAAAGAGATTAATTTAATACAATTTGGAATAAGGCTGTAACATAAAAAGTGGAGAACGTGCAGCGCTGTGAATACTTTCTGGATGTGCTGGAAACTGCTTTGGGATGGGCTAAGTTTGACAGAAAGAGTCGAGACATAACTTACTGACCCAATAAGAACATTACATTTTCAGTTACCCACATCTTAAAAAAATACACAAAGCAGGACTGACCTGAAACCTTCACTTCCTCTCGTTCTTCAGGTGTGATGGCATCTGTGACCTCAGGGATGGAGCAGTCCAAAGTATCTGGAAAGTCCTGCAGGATAAACATTCTCCAGTCAGAGATGTGATGATAAAATTACTAACCCATCTAAAATTATTTATGTAATCATCCATCCATCCATTCTCTTCTGCTTATCCGGGATTGGGTCGCGGGGGTAGCAGCCTAAGTAGGGAGGGTCAGACTTCCCTCTCCTCAGCCACTTGGTCCAGCTCCTCCAGGGGAATCCCAAGACGTTCCCAGGCCAGCCGAGAAACATAGTCCCTCCAGCGTGTCCTGGGTCTTCCTCTGGGTCTCCTCCCAGTGGGACGTGCCTGGAACACCTCACCAGGGAGGCGTCCAGGAGGCATCCTAACCAGATGCCCGAGCCACCTCAACTGGCTCCTCTCGACGTGGAGAAGCAGCGGCTCTACTCTGAGTCCCTCTCGGATGATCGAGCTTCTCACCCTATCTCTAAGGGAGAGCCCAGACACCCTGCGGAGAAAACTCATTTTGGTCGCTTGTATCTGAGATCTCATTCTTTCGGTCACGACCCAAAGCTCATGACCATAGGTTATTGGCCAAATAAGTTATAACATATCGGCCAAAAATCAAATACTGTGCATCACTAACACATTTAATTTACTATTACCATATTACTACAGAATGGTTGCTTTGTCAAAATAAAGCAATGCCAAATGGTAATTATGAGTGATTTCAACATCACATTGACTTACATTATACTCAGTTAACAGGTTTCACTCTTTCCTAATTTTGAAGAGTATAAATAAAAAGATCTCCAATAGTAAGTACTGTACACAAGAACCCCAGCTTGTTCTTGGCGTCACTACAGTCCCTTGTCCTTATTTCCTGAATTTGTTTTTATTTCCTCACATATTTTGCTTGGCGTGCAATTTTACCATTTCTTTTTGTGAGATGTTCAATAAAAAACACCAGTGCCCTGTATTTTTTTATTTTTTTTATTTTAGTTTTGCGAGCCTTTAAAAAAATTATCTTCAAACACTGAACAGCGTCTGGCCTCTTGTTTTATTTTTGGGGATGGGTTCTTGCTCTCTACAGGAACATTTAGAACAGTGAATAGAACAGCCAGTTCATTCACTGGATTTACAAACGTATTCACTGGAACACGGAGTCCAACAATAAAAAAAGCATTAAAATGTTAATTCCCCACAATTGGTGCAACTCTGCCATCTGCTGACAGAGTTGATAAATCCAGTTCACTTCATGGATTCAGGTTAATCTGAATCACTCACTTGGTTGACTTGAGTCATATTAACCCACATGGACCGACTTGTCTGGGTCAGCAGCATTTTCTGTGATTTGGCTGCTTTTTTTCCGGTGAGTTTGCCAACTCGTGGAACTGGCAGTCTGCCAGAGGACATGCAGGATCCAGGTTAATTTAGACCTCAGACCCGTGAGTCCTGATTCAGTGTGAGGATCTGGATCTTTAACCTGGGTGAGTCAGTAAAGGACCAGCTCTACAGGAGTCCTTAAATAAACTGGGGTTATTTCAGACTTTTCAAACAGACTCTTACAGCGACTTTTTATAAGATAGGAAACTGTGGTGAAGTCAACACAGATCGTGATGTTCATGTGCACCCTGCAGCGTGACCCTGTGTGTGTGTTGTGGTGCCACTTAATGTGCATCATGACAACAGAATTCTCATTGTAAAAATTTTTTTAGTGAGTGAAATTTCTGTAAAATGTGACTGACATTTTCTACTGAAACCAGTGAAACTAACGCCCCCACACTGCTTGTCCTGTTTAATAAAAATGGCAGAAAATCAAAATCCACACCAAGAAAGAGGTAAGAATACCACCAAACTGAAATACACCCCAAATTAAAGGGGCATTTCACTGCTCAGTTAGTTTCAGTAATGACAGTTTCCCTTTGTACAACTTTAGACAGCAAATAAAATATCAAATAATGATTACCATATTTTCCACCGTAAACGTCGCTCCGCCCTATAAGTCGCATCAGTCCAAATATGTCTAATAAAGTGGAAAAAATCCATAAATATGTCGCTTTTCCATATACGTTGCATCTATTATGCGTCACCGCTGACAACCCGGAAATGTGGGCCGGTGTTGTGCCAAAAATCGAGCATGCACAGGAGGACTTTAACAAGAATTTAACAAGATTAACACTTAAAAACAATTATTAGTTTGTTCAATTTTAAAGTAAAGGTGTGTCTCAGTCCAACATTTGCTTAATAAAAGGACTTTAACAGTCAAATCAGCTGTATTTCAAAAGCATTTTTTTGTCTCAGTACTCCTTCGCAGACAGGGAGTGAAAATGGAAGGAGGAACGCTGCAAATTTCTTAAAATTTTAACAAGACAAGCACCAAAACAATTATTTGTTTGCTCGACATTATAGCAAATGTGTGTCTCAGTTGAAGTTTTACTTAATAAATGCACTTTAATGGTCAAATCAGCTGCATTTCGCCAGGGCGGTGCAGCTGGTTTGACGGCTGCTCCAAGCAGCGAGCAGAACGAAGGTGGGAGGCTATGGCAAGCCAATTGTGTCATTAATAACTGGTGAAGATTCTCAGTCATCCAGGACATGGTGAATTTAAAAAAGTTCAAGACAAAAACAATAAAGTATAATTATTTATTATACTTTATACTTTATTGTTTTTGTCTTGAACTTTTTTGAATTTGTCAATAATAGCCACTTTTACCTATTACATGATACAACGGCATGCCACTCTACTCGAGTGCCATCTAGCGGCTGAAAATGGTAGTGTTCATTTTTTTTCTAGTCAGAATGAATGAAAACGGTCATATCTCAGCCAAAAATTGTTTTATAAATATGGGAAAAAAAATCATAAATACGTCACTTCGGCCTATAAGTCGCAGGGCATGCAAATAATGCAAAAAAACTGCAACTTATAGGGCAAAAAATACAGTATGTATTTTTCATTTAAACAACAACTCATTCAGTCGTTTCTTAGAAAACAGTGCATGTCTAAAAGGGGGCTTCAAATTTAAACCCATTAAAGAGGTTTAAGGGGTTCAATGGAGTTAGGCTCTAAGCTCTGCTTAACGAAATGTTACACACATTGCTTCACTACACACCTGCAAACAAAGATGACAAATTGAACAAAAAAACGCCTGATCTAAGTCTAAGACCCCTCGCATCAACCATGCAATCTTCCTTTCTCTCTGGTTACTGCTGGTGGGCGATGAAGGAGATTAGCCGAGTCAAGCAAACAGCCAGGGCAGGAACAAGCTCATGACTCGACGTTCAGCTCTGTGGATCCTGCAGCTCATCTAATTTTGAATTCAGCTTTTACAGAATAGTTTATTTAACACAACGGTAGTTGAACTTTTGACAAGAATCTCAAAACAAAAAGCTACTGGTAACCTCACGCACATTTGGAATGGCGCCTCTGGCAGGCAGCGCAGCATGAACATTCACTATGACAGCTTCTTTTCATAAAGACTACAAGCTTCCTTTGATGTCCATCAATGAAGTTGTTTGACTTTAACAAACACAGGAATCCAACGGGCCGAGAGCATAGTAGCCCGTTACAGAACAACTTGTTCATGTGCTGCTGGCCTGATCATTTAACATTTCTCAGGGTCATGAGACACTTACTTTTGCCCTGATGGAGGCTCACCTAAAACACTGTCTTTTATTGTGAAAAACCATTCAGTCAAAACATTAAATGCAATTATTAAAATAAAAGCCTTCTACTCACCGTAGCTGGCAGTTTTGGTGAGGACAACCAGTCACTCAGTGTGGCTTGAATGCAGTCTCGAAGCTGTAAAACAATTTTGTAAAAATGTAAACAAACTCCTTCACTTCTTCTTTCGGCTTTTCCCTCTTCAGGGGTCGCCACAGCGAGTCATCCTCTCCATCTCACCCTAACGATCTCCTCTTTGGCCTTCATCTGTCTTATAAAAATTTAAACAAATAAAATATTAAAATGAACATGCCATGACCTTATGAAGGACCACAGCTGAAAATAAACAGAAGTACTGTATGATAGCATCAGTCACCCTGGGAGCTAACAGATGAGCCATACTATTAAAAATAACATAAACAGGTTTTACTCATAGAACAAGAAAACCGGCCGCCTTGAAGTAACAAGGAATGCTACAAGTTTCAAAATGTAACGATGTAACGATCACAAACCTCAGCTCTAACGTAATACTCGTGTCAAATCAGACAGAATGAACAGTCAAAGAATTAAAACTGTGGTGTGTGCAGTGCAAATGCATGCTTCTGTAAATTAATTTGTGTTGCAAATATGTTCAACGTTTGATTTATTACTGATCAAAAGCCGTGTCACTGTTTGAACACAGACAAACCTTTGCTCTTGATAGCTGCTGCTGGTATAATTTACAAGACCAACTTTGGACAAAGGTTAGGTCAGCCTAAAAACACAATCATGCTTAGTATTAAAAAAAAAAAAAAAAGCTATACGTCATTTTTAACCAAACCCTATATGTAAACAGACATATAAAGAACTACAATAAGCTTGTCAGAGCCAGAAGAACTGGTCTTCAGATTTAATAAATGAGCTAAAAGACAACTTTGACAACTTCTTTGTTAATGGGTCAACTACAGAAGTTATTCATTAAACATCAACTAGTTGCTGCTTCTCACACCTGATGATTAAGGCTTTCATGCAAATTAAAGCAATCTGAGGATGTGACAATTATTTTATGTCTCTTATCCAATGAAATATTAGATAATAAATCAGTTGATAGTAAACCTGACTGATATGTGGAATTTTTATGATATTTTGAGCTCTTGCCTGCGTTAGTGAGCACAGTGAATCATTTACCAGTAGATGACAAACTACACCTTGATGTTTACAGTCCACATGAACCCTCATATCAAAACAACAACAACAATAATCCATCACGTGCTGACTGCAGCCTGAAGTCTTTCACATAAAGTGAAGCTGTTGAGCTGCGTGACATCTGTCAACAACAGTTTGAGACGTTTTTCTGTCAGTATTGTCTCGTTACACAGCACTTAATAATTAATATCAGAGAAGCACAGTTAAATGTTCAGCAGGGCAGCCTGACTTGTTGTTGTATGCTAAGCTAACAGGCTACACACGATGACACAATGTGGCTAACTCCAATATTTTATTTGCCTAATTATTTATTACCTCCTCGCTGGGCGAACTCGGACACTTCTTCATCCGACTTCGGTTGACTAAATTTCCGGTGTGGAACCGGAGGGTCTTGGCTTGGCTCAGCAGCAGCCTCGCCTCGGCGTTGTTTGTGTTGGTATCCATGTGGTTTTCGGCTGCTAACGCTAACAAGATGCTAAATGAGTTTGCTTCGGCTAAACACAGCTGCTGCTGTGGTTGTAGCTGCTGGATTTAAAGACTGAAGGTCCTGCTGTAGATAAAGTGCTGTAGTCAGGATGACTTGCATTCACATTCACTCACTTGTGTGTGTTTGTGTGTGTGTGCGTGCGTGCGTGTATATGTGTGTGTGCGTAATCCGTGTAGCTGAAGCAGAAGCGAAACTGTAAACCGGTGTTGGTCACGCCCACTTGGAGGTGTGGTTAGATCATGTGCACCGCTCGCGTTCGGCCACCAGAGGGCGATGACGGCTTTGTTATTATTTTGTAAAGCTGAACCAGAAAAGTCATGGAGTTGCTTCGACGAAGTACGTACTACGATACACGTCAATGGTGTGTTTGTTAGCCAAATATCTCACGAACTACTGGACGAATTTTATTGAAATTCTAAGAAATTAATCACGTAATGTACCTCTAAATCTGATTACCTTTTTACGGTGGCCGACAGGTGTAAACGAGCTGCAAACAGCTAAATGCACAGCAAATGGCAAAACGCGCTGCAAAAACACGCGAAAGATGCAAACTCAAGGAATAAATAAATAAAATAAAATGCAACAGAAAAACGATGCAAAAGAAAATATCTGCAATCACAGAAAGAAAGAAGAAGCACAACAATAAACGATGCAAATAAGTTCTGCAATTACCAAACACACACACAAACACTAAAACAACTGCAAGTAAAAAACGCTGCAAACTAACTAAAAAAAAAAAAAAGCAAGTGCACTCAGGGGGCTCGACCACCAAGTCAGACAGGACAGATTTGTTGTGGTTGTAGTTGAGTTATTCACATGAAACACAAAACATGCAAAGTGCAATTCTTGCACAAGATCTTTGCTTAAAATGTATTTATTTGAGTGAATCACTGTCTGTTAACAAAATATCTCATTAACCACTGAACAAGTTTAAATGAAATCTTCAGAAAGCAATACTTTTATATACATCTAGAGCTGATTACCTTTTGAAGTCAGTGCAGTTGAAGATGACCACCACAGCTAATTATTATCCAAAACAAAAACTATTTAACTCAGTCAGTCTTACAACTACTGAGCTCAAATTTGATGTGAGTCATTCACAACATGAGTGGCATCTGTCAACAGCGCATGAGATGGTGCATACTGTTTGTTCAAGGGCACAAATCTGTCATTTCTCAGCATAAGATTATTTTATCTTAAAACTATGGCATGAAAGGTGGTTAATTCAAGGAATACAATGCTTTTAATTTACAGGTAGAATTTGAAAGCTTCACAACAACAGACGTCATTTATACATTCAATTTGTCAAATTTGAATTATATTTGGATAAACACAAACTCCTTTGTAAAAATGTTTCAAAACTTTATTACAGATCACAATAAGAACATCTATTGCATATAAATAAAATGTGTTTCAAATGACTTTTTTGTTTGGTAAGTCACGCCAAACGAGAGGAAGTTTCAGTACAATTTGTCTAGTTTTTATTTTTTTTTATATTTGTAAGAGCATAAAATAACCATGAGTGCATCTTGTCAACTTCAAGGCAAACTTAACGCATCACAAGAACATTGAGCGCTGCCATCAGCTGATGTCATCCTACCTGCAGGCTGGTGGTGACCAGCAAGCTGAACATCTGCAAAGACAGATGTTAGACTGATTTATAGTGATTACATTCTGAAAAAAAAAAAATCTATAAACTGCAAGTACTTTTCTCTTCTTGTAAATCTTATCTAGTTGGAATGTAAACTTTAAAAAAAAAAAGACCATTTTTATAACTTTAATGTAATTAAACAGTTTAAGTTACCAAACTTTACGACAAGAGCATGTCATGTGGGGAGTGGTGGAGCAGAGATTAGAGAAGGTGATCGGAAGCTCGACGGTTCAACTCCCCGGACCGACAACATCAAAATGTAGGTATAGATTAAGCACCTGCCTCATTTGCCTCACTCTGGGCCCTTGAGCAAGGCCCTTAACCCCCACCATCTGCTCCCCTGGATGCCCTAGATGTCAGCTCTCTGCTCCACACAGAGGGCTGTGGTAGCTCGGTGGTTTGTGGTTGCATCAGGAAGGACATCCGGTGTAAAAACAATCGCCAAGTCTTTGTGCGACTTAGTTCACTGTGTCGACCCCTGAAGACCGGAGCAGCCGACACAAGACAAATAAAACAAGAACATTTCTTTACCAGCTCAGTGCGTTGTCACCAAAGGCACAGTACGTGACTCTGGTGCAGACACACTGAGCATTTTTACCACCAGCACCCCAAATGTGAAGCAGCTGGAATAAAGCCACATCTGTAAATCACTGCTGCGCTTTCCCTCCGTCTGACGTGGTGTCGTTCAAGAACAAAGCCTGTTGCAACACCCCCGAATCACAGCAAACACCAAGGTATTGGGTAAGACTCAATACTTTCACTCTGTTCTGCCTTTTAATTGATTGCAAAGTTGGCAAAGAATTCCGGGTGAAGAGATCACATAGAACATCCTTTGTCAGAGTTGTGTAATCATGTGTTCTGATTTTATCAGTGTTTTTATTGTTACTAAACTATAAAAAAAACAACGTACTTGCACTTCAGACCTGCCACAGACTGAAAACATCTGCTGCATTATGAAACTTTAACATGAGCCATGAGAGGCCCAAGCTGCTGAGTCGTGGAATTAGCATATTATGGGAAAATAATTTATTATAAAAAGTTGGTTTTTTTTTTTCCAGTGGTTTGTTGTATTTTGGACTATCATGTTGCTAAAAGGACTTTCAAATGAATTTTATGGTTACATTTTCAGCTTTTAAACACTTTCCAAAAACTGAAAATCAAGGATTTAATGCACATAGTTCAGTTATACGGTTTAGTTTTTTGTTTAATATAGCACGCTTGCGTAAAAAAAGGTGTACAGGTTCGAAGTAATCTGGTTATATTGGTTCTGAATGTAGGTCAGGATGTCAACGGTTCTGGCAAGCATGTTAATGGAACAAAGAAGAAAGTGTTTGGGCTTTTCAATCAAGCTTATCCTGTTTTTAAATCACAGCAACTCTAAGTTAGTAAAAAAAATAAAATAAAAAACGGGGTTAAAGTATCTTTCTGATTTTTAAGTTTATGTGTAAAAACAAGCTGCTTTGCTCAGAGCTTTGACCTTTCTCACTTTGACTGAGCAGTGAAACGTTTCGAGCCGACAATGGCACCGGACTTTCTGCTCAACAACAGGAAATCTCTGGAGTCAAGATTACAAATCCAGCAGAAAGGAAACGCTGTTATATATGTGAACATATTTGTAATTTATTACACGTGGAGCCATAAACATCGACATGTTTCTGTATTCCATGCTTTCACGTGCAAAGCCCCGTTCTTACGTGCATAAAAACTGAGCAGGGCTGATTTACCGTCTGTTTCAGACTGTCTCAGTTCAAGTGAACAATGGTGACCAGGAGAATAAAACGGGAACTGAACTATGAACCTCTGGCTCATGATTTAAAACATATTCAAATACATAAATTACTGGAAGCAGATGAGCAGAAGCAAAGTCTCTGAGGTCAATTTCTTTGTGTTTTTACTGGATCTAGAGGGGTTTGCAACTTTTGGGGGTGATTTAAATTCAACCTTGTGCAAAAAAAAAAACACATATAAGTCTTTATGTGTTTGAAAGGAGATTTTAAAACAATATTTAGTGCTCATGTAAAAAATAAAATGGTAAAATTATTGATTAAACTGTCCATAAATAACTAAAAATATTTTAGATAAAAAAGTTGAAAATATCTGCTTCATTGGGAGCTCGCTTTCATTCAAACACGTAATACAGAAAAACTGTGGAAAGTTCAATATGTGAATATGTTAAAAGCATAAAAAAATTATAAATATTTTAGAAGTAGGGTCAGGAGATTTTCTTTACAAGAATACTTTCTTTTGTTGTTTAAAATTTTCTCAAGTTTCTTAATTGTTGATTTTTTCCCCCCCAAGAAATTCTCACAGTGTTTGTTCAATGGGCCCAACTGAAAATACTCAGGTAACGCAAGGTTTCATTTTAACTTTGAATGTTGGAAAGAAAGCCTAAAACTGTTGCGCATCTTCTTCTTAAAAAGGACGAGTTTTAAGAAGATTTAGACACTAAAGGCTGTGTGCTAAAAGTTAATCCAGAATCATCAAAGTTCATGCTCAATAATCCAGGTAAAAAATCCAGCAAAGTTCAGTCAGGTCATCTGGACGGTTTATTTTTTGGTTGAGACGTTTCGTCTTTCATCCAAAGGACTTCATCAGTCCAAGAAGCCACAACAAACTCAGTCCCATAAGTAGCACGCTCATAGTGGGCCAACCAGTTTGCCTTGATAAGATGGTTCCTGGAGTCCACCCTCTCCCCCGTCAACTCCTCTGAGGCAGCCATGGCTTAAGTGGTTCAGAACATCAACACTCATGCTCAATAATCCAGGTAAAAAAAAAATCCAAGCAAGTTTATTCTGATGAAGTTCTTTGGATGAAGAATGAAACGGCTCGAAAAAAAATTGTCCAGATGACCTGAATTTACTTTGTTGAATCCAGAATCCTATTTTTCAACATAAAACTGCAAAATAACAGGGTTGTATTATTAATCCTTTAAGACACTGTTTATCTGACACACAAGGGCCCAAAATGAAAGTTGTGTTTCTCCACACCTGCACCTGATTTGGAGGACTGCTCTGCTGAGCTTATAAGCTCTGCCAGATGTTCTTCCGATGCTGGGACATTATGATACCTAAATAAATAACGGTCGGCCGGTAAACATGTCCCTAAACAGTTGTACTAATCTTTGTTATCTTCTCCAGCGACTTCCAAATCCGGTTCCTCCAAGACCTCCATGTTTCTTGTGACTTCGCCCTGACATCGTCTTGTCCCTTCAATCATCCAAACCTGGATCAGCAGCCACCAAACAACCTGCTGCTCTCTCCAACGAATACTCACCACCTCTGGATCTTCTCCGCTCCTGTGGAAACCCAAGACCTCTTCTCTCCCTCCTCTCCAGCTCCATCTACAAGCAAACACCAGTAAGAGACGACTATCTTCATAACAAGATACAACTTTCATCTAAACCTGAAGAATGAAAAGAATACTCACCTTGTCCTTTTTTCCTTCCAGCCCTGAGCATCACCAGCATTGTAAATAAAAACTTTTGTATGCCTGACTCTCTTCCTCAGTTTGCTAACTAGGGGTCGGCCTTAACTAAAAGTCATGTGAGTTTTTAAGCTCAGTTGTAGCCCTGCATTGAAAATAAAATAATTTGAAAAATCACTGCACATGTTCAAGAACATTTCTGGAAAAACACTGAAAACAAACAGTTCACTAAATCCAGAAGAGCAAAGAAATGTGACGGCACCGTTAATTCTGAATGACAGGAACGCGCTGCCATCCAAACGTCTTCTTCTGGATTTTCTCTGAAGCACAACAACATGGATAACCTCAGCTGACCTGCTTCCCATTCAAATCTGTCATCCAACGTGAAAAAAAAAAAAAAAAGCGTACATGTTCAAGGCCGTTAGATGTTGACCAGCTGAGATCACATCAGCGTCACAATTACTGAAACGTCTTCAGATACTGGTCATAACAGCAGGCATGGGACTGGTCAAATCAACTGGAAATAAGTTTTTTGCTAAAACCTGGAGAGCTCGGCCTGTAAGGCTTACATGAGTCGAGAAACACACTAAGCTGCTGAAAGAAATTCATGTGAGTCCTGTCGAACCACGAGTTCAGAAACAAACAGCCACAGAGTAACTAAAACATGAATTAATGGCATCCTTTTAGAAGATCCAGCTGTTCCAGCTGTGTCCGCTCCTGCAGTCAAACAGAGGAAGAGGAATTTCTCCTAACAATTTCACTTTCTAAACCAAAACAACTCACATCACTCATTTCTGTCCAAGAAAATTTCAAAACCTGAACAAAAACAGAAAATATACACCTCCTTTTGTTAACAACAGTTTACTTTAAGGTTTTACTAGTAATAAAGTTAAAATTCAAGTAAACACAATTTGTTTCTTTTTTTTTTTTAATTGTTATTATTTTATTCTTCGAAGGATCAGTTCAGCTTTTTTGAAAGGGGCTCTGTGGAAATGGTATTAAAAACAATATCTTACCTGTTGAAGATGTCTGAAAGAATTTAGTTTTGAGAAATTGAGGTTTGTTCTGACCAGATTTAAAAAATAAATAAATCTCAAACTCATGAGATCTGAACTATCACTTTAATTCTTTAATGTTTACCCATACATTACCATTTTAAATAATTGCTTTCGTTTCTATTCTATGTCATTATTTCTTATAAAAAGAGGCAGATCCTAACAGGTACCATCCCATCCCAATACCATCCCAGCAGGCTTGATTTATACAGAAACATGAGCAGCCGACGCCACGGGCCGGCCAAAGTTAGAAAATCAGAATGATTTATTGTTTGCAGTTGTTAAAAAAACAAAAAGTGTATGCCAATATCCCCTTTCGCTGATAGTGAATGTTTGTAGTTTTTGATATGAGTGTTTTTCTTGACTAGGATTGAACAAGAAATGCAAGTAAACCTCAGTGTTTTGGTGTGAGACATTCAAGCGGGTAGGAGTTGCACTATATGTACCAACAGAGGTAATTTATTTAGGAAACTGAAAGTTAAACTGGGTTTCTTTTTCATAAATAGATCCTGTCTAACCCTGAATGCTTGGAAACACCTTGAAACTGTGACTTTCTTTCCCTCAATTGATTACGGTGATATTATTTACATGAACTCTCCTGTAAACACCCTGCAGATGTTGGATGCTGCCTATCATGGTGCACTAAGATTCATAACTGGCTGTAACTACCGTACCCATCACTGCACCCTAACTGGACATAATTAACTTCACGCAGACGCTCTCACTGGTACATTTTCATCTTTAAATCACTTCTTGGTCTGCTGCCTTCATACGTCTCCTCCTACATGTCTCTGAGTGAGTGCAGCTACAGCGTGCGCTCTCAGGACATTATTACCTGCAGTGTTCCCTCAGTGTGAACTGAACTTGACAAAAGGGTCTTCTACTCCGCTCCTGTTTCCTGGAACATCTTGCAAAAAGACCTGAAGCTCTTGACCTTGACCTCTCTAAGTGGCTTCAAACGTCTGTTAAGTTCATGGCATAAAACAGACACGTTCCTGCTTTTAGTTTTCTACATCGCCTTACAACCTAGCTGTTTTTTGTTGCATTTTTTTTAATACCATTTTATTTTCACTTGTTATTCTCAATTTATAAGCTTTCTTTTATGATTGTCCACTGTTGTCATCACTCTTTGTTAAACTCAGGTCTCTCTTGTAAATGAGTCCCTGAGGCTCAGTGGGATTAACCTGTTTAAATAAAGGTTGAATTAATTAATTAATTAATTTATTTATTTATTTAATGCTAGTCTGAGGCAGCGCAGAGTGATGGATCCTGGCGAGTGGAGGGAATTCCTCTCTTTGCAACGTGGAACAAAAAAACACCTGATCTGAATTATTAATGCGGTCTAAGACAAGACAGACATCTTAATGTGATCAGTACTTCAACCTTGAATTTATCTTCTAAACATTGCATTCAAGCTTTGTTGCAGCAGCAGCACATTTCCTGTTTTTAACACACTTTAAGCCTCTTATACGACCACACTTTAAGAGATTAAAGCAACTAAATCTTTGTTTGATTCAACCAAAGAGGAAATGTGGTCATTTTAATGCACATTTAGTGATTGATTAATTCATAAGCACCTTAATTAAAAAAAGAAGATGTTATCTTTAAAGCACCACCGTGCATGGCTTCATAACACCAGCGTTGTGGTAAATGAATTGAATTTCTCCAGTAAATGGATGAGTGTTAGCAGACAAGCGATTAGTGGCGTAAGATGTGGGTGGTATTCATGTGTGAGAAAAGGGGGCAATCATTCCTTCTTACATTGTCTGAAAAAAAGAAACATCAAGTGATCAAGTTGCACTTCTTCTGAGCAAATAAAACAGCGTGCTCAGAGGAGGTGTGGTAAAGAGTTTGGACCAGACTATAAGAACACAGAACCAGTGCAGACTGGGCTGGACTAAAAGAGTTTTCCTCCCAAGGCATCTTGTGGAGTCCTGAATGAGAGCAGGTGGGACTTTCTGCACACTTCTGACTCTTTGTGTGCTTTTGCTTTAACTTGCAGTCATTTTGTTGAAACAGTCTTAAAAGTAAGTGTCGAAATTTCCACGAGTTTGCTTGATTTATGTAAAACATCCATCAGAGGGCAGGAAGGAACATCTGGACACAGCTGGAGCTCAGACAGATTGACTCATTTTTAATCCGAGGTCAAAACCTTTTTTTAATGCTCAGGCGGACATATGGAGGAGTGTGTGGTGAAATATGTATTCTGTGTTCAGCATGATCAAAAAGGAGGCGTGTGTGTGTGTGTTGGTGTGTGTGTTGGTGTGTGAAACTCTTTATCCATGTTTGTGTTTATGATTCACTCTGTTTGTCCAGAGACTGACAAGCAACAAGAACGTCAGCAGACATGAAGCTTCACGCCCTCGTCCTCCTTCTGATCTTCACCTGCATGTACCTGAGTCTGGCACAGGGTACGTAGTAAAGATTTCATTAGATTCACAGCAGAAAGTAATTTAAAAAGTTAAAATTTCATCACACAACTTTTAAACGTTGCAGGGGTGTTTTTGCATCTGCTCAGTGTCGTGCAGGCTGAGCTTGTGGAACTGAGATATTTCTCAAACCATATTTCTTTATTAATGGAAGCTGTGGTTTTAAAAAAAAATCCTCTTCAAACAGAGGGAGAATTGTCCTCCAAGTTTTTTCTGCAGCACTTCATACCAGTTGAATTTGTCAGGACTTGCTGCTAGAAGATCATTTGGATTTGATGACGTCAAAAACAAAAAAAAGAAAGGAATCACTCTTTGCTCTAATTAACTGGAGTGACTGCTTTTCCTAAATATTTTCTCATTGCAAAATGCAGCACAATGCTGGGACCTTTTTTAAATGCTGATAAATGTATGTGAGCTATTCAAGATAAACAACTAGAACAGCACAATAACAGCTCAAAGCTCAGCAGATTTGATTGGGGATTATTGTTGCAGCTCAGTCTGAGCTTCGACTCGCCCCAAATGTTAGAATGATTTTTGTCCTAATGAAACATCAGAGACATTAGTCACAGTTGGACAAGTCAGTGTTAGAAAACACAAAGAGGAAGGAAGGAAGGAGAATAATAAAATGATGAAGAAGTAAAAGTTATTATTCCAAAATTTAAATAAAAACTGGTAAATGTGCACATCTGTTTTTGTATTATTTGTAATAGTTGTTAATAACACAATGTAACTGAGTAAAAACTGTTGATAGAAACATTCATCCATTATCCATCCATCCATCCATCCATTATCCATCCATCAACCCATCCTCCATCAATCCATCTTCCATCAATCCATCCATCATTCATCCATCCATCCATCAACCCATCCATCCATCCATCCATCCATTATCCATCCATCCATCCATCAACCCATCCTCCATCAATCCATCCATCCATCCATCCATCCATTATCCATCCATCCATCCATCAACCCATCCTCCATCAATCCATCCATCCATCCATCCATCCATCCATCCATCCATTTTCTTTACCCGCTTGTTCCATTTTGGGTCATGGGGGTCACCGGTGCCCATGTCCAGCAATCACTGTGCGAGGGGCGGGGTACACCCTGGACGGGTCGCAAGTCCATCACAGGGACACGTAGAGACAAACGAGACCAACAACCATTCACTCTCTCACTCACACCTAGGGACAATTTAGAGTTACCAATCAGCCTAACATGCATGTTTTTGGTCTGTGGGAGGAAACCGGAGTACCCGGAGAAAACCCACACATGCACGGAGAGAACATGAAAACTCCACCCAGAAAGGCCCCCGGACCGGGGTTTGAACCAGGGACCTTCTCGCTGAGAGGCAGCAGCTCTACCAGTTGTGCCACCGTGCTGCTTCCATCAATCCATCCATCCATCCATTCATCATCCATCCATCCACCATCCAGCTATCCATCCTCCATCCATCATCTACATCCATCCATCCAGCCAGCCATCATCCATACATCCTCCATCCACCAATCCATCTTCCATCCATCCATTCATCATCCATCCATCCATCCATCCATCCATCCATCCATCCACCCACCCTCCATCCATCCATCATTCATCCATCCATTCATCATCCATCCATCCATCCATCCATCCATCCTCCATCCATCTATCATCTATCCATCTATCCATCCACATCCACATCCATCCAGCCATCATCCATCCATCCTCCATCCATCCATCCATCCATCCATCCGTCCGTCCATCTATCCACCATCCATCCATCCATCCATCCATCCATCATCCATCCATCATTTTTACCTGTTATTGCAGTTTTGTGGGGAAGCTGTTTATCTAAAGCAGTCGTTAGAAAAGAGGCAGGGAGCACCCTGGGCAGGTCTAGATATAAACAGAAATACAAAATGTTCAGCAAAATTATGCACTCAGTACTAAATATAGATGTTTACATAAATCTATCATTTGCAGACAACACAAACAGCAACAGGTGCAGTCACTAATGGTAAAGCTCAAGAGGAAAACCTGCAGGGTGAGGTCAGAGTGTAAATTTACACATTTTAAAAAAGGCAGTCTTTTAATTTAGGGGGGGGGGGGGTTGTTTGTTTTAGTCTGACACTTATTGCAGATTCATGATGGGAATTTGCACACGAGGAGTAGTTTTCCCAGATATTGTTGGCTTCACTCCAACTAATTTATTTTCCAGATCTTTGACAGTGCCAACAGTCTTTGTGAGCGGTTGGAAGACACTGGTTTTATGTTAAAGTTAATTACCCAAAAGGAGAGTTTTTGATAAATCTATTAGACAACAAGATGCTTGATCCCATTCCCTGTCAGTGTCAATAAATTAAAGTTGAACTTTGTTCAACTGCTGAAGATCTGAAAAGATTAAAACAAAGTTTCATTTCACCACAAGAAAGACATTTTTCAGCACGGTAGTTAACGTGTCTTCAACTTTCTGAATTTTTCTTTTGTCTCGCCAGGCTCATATGACAACTGCTGCCTTGGCTACGTTAAAGGGATTGGCAAATTTCCAAAGAAAAACATTGTGAGTTACAGGATGCAGGAAACAGATGGTGATTGCAACATCAGAGCTGTTGTGTGAGTACCAAACGTGATATCCTTCTCTTCACTGCCTCAAAAGTTTATTTGTATTCTTGCATTGTTATAACTGGCAGCTGCTGATGGAAAAAGCAATACCCCATGATCAAGAAAACTGGTCCAGATTTGAACAGTTAAATTAAAAAAAATGAAAAAAGGTAACCCTTGTTTTACATTGTTTCTGCTTTGTGTAGGTTCTCACTGAAGAAGAGACGTTTGCAGAAGAAGCAACTCACTATCTGTGCCAATCCAGCTGACAGTTGGGTGCATGTGATTATTGAAAAGATCGATTCAATAATGAGGCCCTAGGTGAAAAGTTGTCCAACATTCCCTCACATTAATGATCTTTAATGCCTTACAGACGTTCTCACTCATTTGTCTTCATAAAATCTGTCTTTGCAGACCTCTAAGGGGAGAAACCAGAGAGGAGGCGAGAGAAGAGGTTGCATTGTAATTCATCTTCTGTCAGATGGATTGTATTTCACTTGATTTGATCTTTCCTGTTTCCGACAGAGAATTCATATATGCAGTTCTTTATAGCACAAGCATTGTTAAACTATTAGCCAGTGTATTAAAAAAAACCCTCTTTATATCAGCCATTATGATGCAACTCACTTCTGTGATGTACAGAGCCTGCTAAGAATGAGCCGCTTTTTGGCAGCTTTAAAATGTGAGTAAATATGACTTTAATGTAAAAAACACCTTAGTAATAAGCTATTTTTTTATATATATATATACATATAAACCCCATCAAACTTCAATATTTTTGTATTAGCGCTTTGACTGTATTTATCTGTTTTTCCTACATCAAATAAAAAATAAATGCAAATAAAAACGCAATGTTCGTGACAGCATGATGACAACTGTTATACATTAATGCAGTCCTGATCTAATGAGGTCATTGTTGAAAAAAGTGAGAA